CCCCCCCCCCCCCCGTAAATACGCCACTGTACATTGGTATTTTACAAGTTTTTTGTGCACCACTTTATGTGATACTCACGAGCCGCCACTGAGCACTGACTATATGTATATATATATATATATATGTATATGAATAATTACAGTATAGTCCGTGATTTAAGTATATTTCACGTTTTTATGTTTTTGTCGTTAATCACTCGTCAATCAGTAGTGGAACTAGTTGAATTTCGAAACTATGACGTACAACTATGGCAACAACGTTCGTCCCCCCCCGTAACACACCTTCACATAGTATAATAGTGGTATCATTCTACCTTCCCATTTCACCATGCTTGCGCTTAAAATACGTGTATAGGACGAACTGTTTAACCATGTCTACGTTTTTAGATTTAACAATTTACGTTATTCAGTCTCATTACTTCGTAGATAATGCACTACCACGGATACAAATTAAACATATTATTTTGTAATATTAACTTTAACAGATAACGAGAATATTGTGTGTTTTTAAGATTTCGCGTGACCAATGACGTGCCGTTTAATAATTTTTTTAAAGTAATTTTTTAGTTTCTCTCGTATTAAAGTTGGTTATAATTTTCATTTTTCAAAGTTCGATGATAATACTACATATTTCTATTGTTACCGTCGGCTGCCCCGAGGTATTTTACTCTATCAACGATTGCAAACATCGATGCGCTTGAACATTAAAGTATGCACAAACATGCTGTCATTTGAGACCTTGATGTATCGAATCTCTTCTCAATAACCATCGACATGTCCTCAGTATCTATCTTGGACACCTTGTCCTTTACAGTTCTTTCTGTAATATTTATTCCGTTTCTACTATTTTTCCTCAGCATCGTGTTATTTGCATATATTGGTAAAACGGTTGGTATACAACGAATTTATGTGGAATTCCTTTTAAAAGTATTTGAGGTGAGTTACATGTATGATAATAAATATTAATTTACAAACATTGATTATTTTTTGTATGTATTCCTATTGTTGGTATATGCTTTAATTAAATACTTAACTTGTTAGTTGCCATCAATACATATTATTTAGTTTTATTTATTTATACAATTTAAAACTTATAATGAAGTAATATTTCATTAATCAAATAAGTTAACTCGATCAGTTATACAACTTATTTATGAGTTGTTCGACTAATATAGATGAGATTAATAGATTTTGTGACCATGTATCTTGACTAGTAAATTTTAAATTTTATACTCAAAGTATACTTCTAAAATAAAAACATCAAGATTAAAATACGCCTGTGTCCAGTACCTAATGTTACTTTCATTATTGTTCCGGGGTATATATTACATTAGACCTTTTAATATTAGCTTATTAAAATAATATTTTGTATATTACTAACTATATAAAAATATATCAATACTAAATTAAGGTATTCAGATTTAAGTTAGGTATACAAGTATATTATTTGTATATACATTAATTAATTAATACTTAGCCTGGAATATTATTATATTTGTTAATTACAACCGGTTTTAAATTAAAATTTCATCATGTATACAAAGCCAATTCAGTTATGATTGTATTGATGATAAATTTTTAATTTAAAATCCATTATACTTTACAAATATAATACAAATAATACACCAGACTGAACATTTATTTATTGATTTATTAATTTACAAGTATTAACCATTTACTGATTTTTAATTTTTAATTATTTTGTTATTTATTTGTATCAATAATATTGAAGTACTTGCAAATGATACTTGTCGTCCATAATTAATCAGTACTTAAAAATATTTATTTTAATATTTCATATAGTTTCAAATTATGTTGTTTAAAGTTAAACATGTTTTATTACTACTAGAGATATAATTGTTCACAATTACAGAAAATCCATGTTTAATGGCATCTTAGACCTTCCATGTTAGATTTTATTATATGTATCTAACTATAGTTTTTAATTGATTGACAATATTTAATTATGCACATAAATATGTTTCAAAACTTTTTGATTAATTTTTATTTTTATGTTACTCTGTCTTCGTTGTTTTGATGTAAGTATATATGATCTAGAAATTTTAAAGATTTTTAATGATTTGTATTAATTTTTTAAAATAAAATAAATTTTATTTTTCATTTAGATAGCTATTATAAATCATTTTAATATTCATTTGGTTAATAATTTGAAATTAATTAAATTAGTTTGAATCCACCTATCAGTAATTATAATTTAAGAATAATATTTATCATTATTATTTTTATTTTTATTTATCATATTGGTATTTATTATTTTATGAACTTTTTCTCCATACTTATTTCTATAAAATATTTTATTATTAATGGTGTTAAGTTAATGAAATTAGTTTGAATACAATTATAATTTGTGTACTATTCAAAATAATGTCCTATTAATTTAAACATCAAACTATTTTTAGTTTACCTATAGCAGTTTACTGTATATATTGGACTCAATACTTATTAGCAAATACATTATTTATATGTTATTTTCATATTATAATAATAAATAATGATAAATAACATTGCATTAAAAAAAAAAAAAAAAAGTATTACATTTGAATAAGAAAATTTTTTTGTTAATAAATAATTAAAAAGTAAAATTAATATGAAATAAGATGTTCATAATTATCATTTAATAAAAATTTAAAAATACTAAATAATATTGGGCACTGTTTCATTTGTTACGTAATTAATTTTAATAACAATATTATGAAAGTTTAAAGTACATTGGGTATAGACTTCAATATTAATTCTTGGTTTTAAAATTAACTAACAAATGCTCAAAGGTTATTAAAAGAATAATGTTCTTTAATAATTAATGATATAATATGTTCTTAACTTATCAGTTTATTTATTTTTATTTGTTATACTAGAGTTGGTAATATAAAAAAACCTCATGGTTAATATTATTAAATTTTAATATTTTAAGAATAAAAATTTAAGTTTTTTTAATTTTATTAATACTTTTTAAATTTTCTTCATTCATTTTAATTTTATGAAATTTATTTTTCAATTTTATAAATATAATATACCATAAATAACTAAAATAATACTTAATGTCAATTGAATTATAATGTGCTCTATGCGTTTTAAATTTTTTTTTTCTAATAATTTATATTAAACTTTATCATGTGTACAATATATATAACTGTATAATATTAATAAATATAATCTGTATTTAATTGTAAAAGTTCAAATTATTTTTAACTGTATATAGTGTTTATAATAGGTTTCACTTGTTAATGTGCTTATAAGGTGTTCTTCATTAATTTTTTTTAATTGATTGTACCTAATTTACATTCTTTATTGTTTTACAAAATAAACTGAGATATCATTGAAAACTCTTTTCTATCAATTTTATTACAAATTTCAAATATTATTATTATTATTATTAATATAATTAATAATAATTTCAAATTTTAGGTTTAAAATTATGGCTAATCGACTTATTTAACTTTTTTAATTAATTCACTTTTTTAAAAAATATATATGAACATAAATAAGGTTAGATAGGTTACTGATATTCCTTTTAGATATTTATTTTTAAAAAATATTACAAAGAGCTTTTATTTAATGGTTTTAATTGTTTTTAAATTTAATGTAATAATTATCTATTCAATGAAAATATATTACATGATTATTGATAAATGGAAATCTTAGGATACTGATGCGTAGGGTCCTATCTATTTTTATTCCAAGCTGTTTAATTTTTTCCATTCAATACCTAATGAAAAAATACAGATTGTATGATTATTAAGATGGCTCTGTTTGCTAAACACCTAACTAAATAAGGTGTTAATATTATCCAATATTAAACTAATTTTAAAATGAATGTAAATTTTCATATAATTTTCCTATGTATTATTCTTTCTAAATATTTCATATGAAAAAAAGTTAAATTATCTTGTAAAAAATAAAATACATAATTATATGTGTTTAATGTATAATATTTTTGGTGCAAAAACATTTATTATTTATTACACTTAATTTAATCAAATATTTAGTTTTATGACCTTATTAACTATGATACTTTGTATATTATTAATGTCTAAATAGTCTACATCTGTGTAATTGATAAATTGAGTTATTTTTCAGAAATCTTAACTAGACTATTAAAAATACTAGTTAAAACTAGTAAAATTGGTACTTGAATTCAGTTTGAATTTTGTTTCTTACATTTTATAAATTATATATTATTAGCTTGTATTTTATGTATATGATAATGAATTATTATTTTTTAAATAAAAATAATTGTATAAAATAAACGTCCTATTACCTTTCATATGATTTTTAATAACCTTGAATATTTGATAACAAATAACCTTATGATATATGTAATAAAAAAATTATGTTTAAATTTAGACATTTAATTTTAAGAAATAAATGAATTACAATACAATATTAAGACATTTTGCAAAAATAGAAATTCATAATTTTATCATTATATAGTTGATACAATTAATCAATGTTAAACAATAATATAATTACATAACATTTTGACATATTAATCACCTTTTATAAAATATTGAAGTATCAATTATAACTCTTTATTTGAGTTACTATAAAATATTATGTAGCAGTTAAAAGCCAAATTAAAATTTATAAGTATTGTCATATAATACAATAAACAGAGTTTAAAAGTATAACTTTTAATTTGTAAAATATGAAATTATACATCAATTTTAAATTGATTTTTAAAATATATTTGAGCAAATGTATTACTTACAAATTATTTCAAACAACAACCCAAGAACTTTTTTCCACTAAAAATTTAAATTTTAACTTTATTTGAAGTATACTTTCTACATTAAATGTTTGTAATTTATTATAAGACCCAATTAGTGGTTTTTTCAAATTAATATTCTTTATTTTTCTATGGAACATTGTTTAAATTCTTAAGATGCAAAAATACTTTAAAATAATAATCACCCTTTCCAAATTGAGTCTCAAAAATAATTATTTTTATATAATGTTGTTATTATAATTTTAGTATGGAAGAGAAAATCTAGAAAAACAATCAAAAAATAAAGTTAAAAAAATTGAAGAAACTGATAGTGAAGAAATAGAGGATATTGATGATCTGGATTTAGTGACTGAACATAATATTGATACATTAAATGAATGCCTAACACTACCAGTGCCAATAAACACAAATGGATCCATCACTAGAAGTAATTCAACACATAGTTTATCCAATGGAAATATTGACAAGAAAATACAAAATGGAGCACCACCTTTAATTAGCAGACAAGATTTAATATTAGTTCCAGATCCAGATCAAAATTATAGTGGCAATAATAATGTTAAAAATGGAGTAAGTAAAAGAAAAAAAATTAAAGAAATAATATGTATTATAGGAGATTGCGTTAACCTTAATTTATAATAGCATCTCAAAACAAATAATCTCTCGTATTTTTTGATTGGTATGTTACATCCCAAACTTAAATTTAATAACTGCATATTGAAATTACCATATTAATTTAATTTGATATTTAATGCGAAAAAGTACGTAAGAAGAAAAATTTTATAAGTATATTATTTAGATATATTGTCATATTTATGAATTAAAATTATTTTGAATAATAATAATAATAATAAAATAAAAAAACATTTAATAATTAGAAGTAGTAATTTTTTGTTGTTAAATTTACTAATTAGATTCTAATTTCTATGTATTAAATTATATATATTATGATACGGTAATTTAATTATGGAATTGTTGTTAAGGTCGTATGTAATCTGTAAATAAATATTTAGTGTAAAAAATAAATTGTTTCTTATCATGTTGGATATAACTATAGAATGTTTTTTAATTTGATATTTCATAATATAGCTATCCTGTTATATTCTGAGAAATTATCATCATTAATAGTTTTGAAATTCAAATAACATGCTGGTTCTGTTGTGTATGTTCCATACATATTAATTGTGTAACTAATAAATGAAACACAATCAAAAAAACATAATTTAAAGGTTACTATAGAATTTTAAAAAACAAATTGTATACAAAATTCTTAATAGTTAGAATTTTGGGACAGAAAAACAGCAATATTAAATAGTATAATAATTAAATTTATTTAGAAGGCAGATAAGAATTTATTTAGGAAAAAAATTTTAATTAAAAATAAATTGATATTTTATTTAGGTCCAATTTTATTGTACCTAATCAATTATATATATTTTTAGAAATGTATTTACTAAAATGTATAAATATTTAGGGTAAACAAATATTACAAAGAACACGTTCATTTAATACTTTAAAAAGAGAATTTGAACTTACTGATGTACTTGATTATGTAAAAACTGGAGTTGAAGCAATTATTGAAGATCAAGTTACTTCAAGATTTGAAGCTGAAGAACTTAAGGTAGAAATATATCCTTTGATAATAATTATTGAAATCTTTTTTTTTTTAGTAACCAACTCACCAACTCTCTTATTTTATTATTCCTTTTCATCTTGTTTTTGAAAAATTTTGTTATTTAAATGCTTGGTTTGTTTATTACTTTTTAATAACTCTTCTACCATATTTCATTGTTCTTCCATCCATATATCCTTAGCATTTAGAATAATTTAAATAATGTCCTTTTATTTTTATACTTGAAAGTGTTAATGAAAAAAACAATATACAACATATTTATTTACTGATTTCAATGTATTTATTTTTAATATATAAATACTTAGCCTGGAGTATTATTGTATTTGTAAAATATAACCGGTATCAAATTAAAAATTAATTATCAGGTATATACAAAGTCAATTTAGTGTTGATTGTATTGACTTTACATATACTTGATGAATTTTTAATTTGAAACCGGTCGTACTTTACAAATACGATAATACTCCAGGTTAAGCATTTATATATTTATTTATATATTAATTTCCGAGTATTAACCGTTTACTAATTTTAATTTAAATTTTTATTATTTTACTATTTATTTTTAGTCGTGGAATCTGTTAACAAGAACAAATAGACATTATGAGTTTATCAATTGGAAAATAACTGTAATTTGGTTCATTGGATTTATTGTAAGATATACAATTTTGTTGCCTTTGCGAGTATTAATCTGTTTTTTCGGGGTAAGTATTAGTTTTTAATTATTGTATTCATACATAAAGTAAGCCAATATAACTTATTTATAATTATATTTTGGTAATTTTAAATTAAATAATTTATCATACTGAAAAATATTTAGAAGTATTTATTCTTTAAAAAATTATTAACTCTATATTTTTATCTTTAATTCATAAATCAATTATTTGAAAAAAAAATAATTGTAATCATTAAATTATTTTACATCGGTGTTTTAGATATAATATTTTTAATTAATGAATGAATAAACTGACTAAAATTTAAATTTTAATATTATTTTATATTGGCGATTATAATAATATATTATGTAAAATCAAATGAAATTTATTTTAAATCAATGACATGTGTAAAAACATTTATCTTTATATCTTGCTAAATTCAATCAACAGGTTATTTTGTTTAGTTTAACAATATGTGTTATTTGGTTGACTGTAAGGAATGAATTAGTACAGAAGTCATTGATAAATGGTATTTCTCGATACATTTTTATATTATTTCAATATGCTATGACAATGGTCATTAATGTTCATAATCCACAGTGGATTCCAAGGCATAATGGAATCTGTGTAGCCAATCATACATCACCAATTGATATTGCTATTCTATTTGTTCACAATTATTATATTTTGGTAATTAGTCGAGTTTGCTTATTTAATGCAATTTAAAAAAAATTATTCGCACTTTCATTCATTGATTGGTAAGGGAATAAGCAACAGAACTCTTATTTAAGTAATTGTAGAATAATTCTTAATTTGTATTGACAAAATGGTGTATGTTAAGTATAAATTAAATACAGTTTCTGTTTTTATTTAAAAATTGATCAAAATGTATAATAAAATGTAATTTATTCAACTAAAGTCTTAAATAAACTAAAAACAATATATGAAAAAAAAACATTTATATGAAATATTTAAATTTGTTTTTTTTTTGTTTTGCTTATTTTGAGATGTTGCTTATACTTTTTTGACATGCCTAATAAATATACTATTCTATCGAAATTGTGTGACTTGTCTAATAAAATACTATTTTCTAAACTATAAATGATTTATTTCTAAAAAGAATACATAACATGTAATTATGTTTACTTACATTCTTAAATATTACTTTCTATTATAGAATTTTACAAATATTTATTTAAATTTTCATAGATTGTTACTCTTCTATTAGTCATACAAAATAATAATAAATCTTTTATTAATTTATAATAGATTAATGTATCAAATTTCCTACAATATTTGAAAATTAAATATATTTGACTAATCAAAAATCAAAGCGAGTACTGAAGTATGATTTCATTAATTCATTAATAATTATTCATTGTTTTTAAGTAATCATCTGTTTTAGCATAATCAAAATATATGTTTAATTTACAGTAATTTCAGGAATCTTGTTTAATTATTTTATATTTACAATGAATAATATTAAAAAATGGTTATATTTTCTTTTTAAAAATAATTTTTAATGTATGGATTTTCATTGATTTTATGAACATACTAGGTTTAGATACACTTGGCTAGGTGCATCATTGTATTCTAAGCTTCCCTTTATCTATTACCGACAAAAAAAAATTAACATAATGCGATTTATGTTTAATATTTTTTTATTCTATTTTCAAAGATTTGAATATTATGAGTTGTTCATTATTTGTGTAACCTTAATGAAATGGAAATATTTGTTGTTTTTATTTTATTGTTTATGTTAATAATTATGTTCATATTAGTTTTAATACTCAATGACATCTTGTTGTCTCGTACATTATGATGTATATGTAAAACATATTTTGTTGGTCAATATATATAGTTGTCTGTTATATTAATATTTACTTTCTACTTTAATCTACACATTCAAATTTATGACTGTACTATTTTGCAACTAATTTTGGTCATAAAATAATAAAAATATTAACTTAACCAAATAAAAAATATAAAATAAATATTCAAAGTAACACATACATATTTATTTGCTAATAATCTGAAAAAATAATAATGTTAATAGTTTTGTCATAATTCAGGTTAATTATATTTTCTGTTATTAAAATTATATTTTTAACATTTTAATTTTTAATCATTTGCAATAGTGTTAAATAATGAAGTATTAAGTTGTAACCACCATAAAAAATGTTTCCTAATTTTTAAAATGTTATAAATATAATGTATTTTCTATAGACTGCCAGAACAGATTATAATTAAAATATGTATAAGATAAAATATTTCTTAACTACAAAAAAAGTCCTTAAATTATTTCAGTTTTATTTAAAGTTCTTTGTTCTTTATAAAATTGGTCTCTAAAATATTAAATAAAAGCAGTTTTTAATCAATTATTAAGATTTTAGAAAATCCATAGTCATAATATATTTCTAAGATTACTAAGAGTGTATAAAATGATTGATTTCATTAATATTTTTATGAAAAATAAAACTAGATTTATAACGTATAATATCTTGCCAAATATAAAATTATTTATTGATTTAATATAAAATAGAACTATTTTATTTTTTAGTTTTTAAGTGTCAATTATAACTACAATTATTAAAATATTTTATGTGAATAGGTTATGTGGCTATGGATTTGTACATTAATTGTTGGTTTTATACCTGATAGTTTGGGTAAACGTTGGCTCAACCAAAATGTATCCATTATGTGTTTTCAAGTTTTATCTGCTTCACTATCTTCAGTCATTACTTATCATAATCGTGAAAACCTACCACAAAGAGGCATTTGTGTTGCCAATCATACATCTCCTGTTGACGTACTAGTGTTGGCATGTGATAACCCTTATGCTCTGGTACGTCATAATATGCACTCAATCATCATTTTCATTATACAAAAAGTAGTTTATCCAAAAATATAGCATTAATAAGCACCATATTAGACATCTACACATTCAACATACATTATTTTTAACATTTCTTGTATCAACTATCAATAATTTTATTTACTACTTGAAATCCACACCAAAATAAATAATTACTTTCTTACATTTTACTAACTATTACTTATAAATCAACTTGAAATGCAATCATAATATGGATAAACTACCAATACTTTCATTTTTTAAGACTATAAGTAAAAACTTACAAATTAATTATTTACTTAATATATACATTAGATTGGGCAACGTCATGGTGGATTTTTAGGAATCCTCCAAAGAGCATTAGCTAGAGCTTCTCCTCATTTATGGTTTGAACGATCTGAAGCTAAAGATCGAGAAATTGTTGCTATGAGGTAATTCCTATTTTATTTTTATTTATTTCATTACTATAATGTATTATACTATAATAACTTATGTATATAATTTATGTGTAAAGAAATTTAATATAAGATAAAAAAAAAAAAACAGTTTGTTTTACTCTGTCAGTATATTTTATATAAATACTTACTGCCTTATTATTTATATTATATATATCTTTATATAATAAAAAAAATTTTATCTGAAACTTAAATGTTATCGGATTAATTGATTTAATTTTATATTTATTTGAGGTAAAAATGAAATATTGAAAACGTGAAGAAAATATTGTTTAAAAATAAATTTTTAATATTTATTATTTAATTATTATTTTACCTGTTCTTTTGGTAAAATTATATTCAAAATTATTTATTCTGAAAATGATAAAATTTGTTTTAACAAAATACTTAAAATAATTCTAAATAACAAAAAATTAATTTTATAAAGTAACAGAAATCTTAATATATAGTTTTTTTTAGTTTTCATCTATTTTTGGGCATTAAATATTCCAAATGAATTTGTATTCTTAACTAAACTTTTGAAGTACTTCTTAAATTATCATTTAAATATATGTTTTATAACATCTAGTATAACTTAAATACTTCACTTACTTATTTACTTCAAAATTTGTCTTTATTTATCTTAAAACTTATTTCTATGTTTTTCAGACTCCGAGAACATGTATCAAATCCAATAAATCCTCCAATATTAGTATTCCCTGAAGGAACATGTATCAATAACACGTCAGTTATGCAATTCAAAAAGGGAAGTTTTGAAGTTGGTAGTGTTATTTACCCTGTAGCTATTAAAGTAGGTTATTGAGAATTTAAAGTTTGGGATAATATAATAATATTTAAAATGTATTTTCATATGCTATTTTAGTATGATCCAAGGTTTGGAGATGCATTTTGGAATAGTAGTAAATATTCAATGCTTCAACACTTGTATTTAATGATGACATCTTGGGCAATTGTTTGTGATGTATGGTACTTACCTCCAATGTATCAAAATGAAAATGAATCTGGTGCAGATTTTGCAAATCGAGTAAAACGAGTCATAGCAGATCAAGGAGGTCTTGTAGATCTAGTATGGTAAGAACAATAAATATTAAATACTATATTTATTTATTTATTCAAATTTTTAAAATATTGTTTTTATTACAAATTAATTTTTTTAATTAATCATGTATACTGTATAGGGACGGCCAACTTAAACGTTACAAACCAAAAAAAGAATGGAAGGAGAGGCAACAAGAAGAATTCAGTAAACGACTAAAAGTTGAATAATCAGAGCCTTTATCATTTTTGTTTAATATAATGGTCATATAACAACGAAAATTGGAATTATTGCCTAATTGTCATGACATAAAAGAAGTGACCAATCAATAAGAACAATACCTAGTCGTACATATAATCACCAAAGTTTGTTAATATTTATTTTAGGTTTATATAAACAAGTAGATATTAACTAAACTATGTAATCTTTTGTGAACTGTAATACTTATTTCGGTGTCAGTCGATAAATATGGATTCTATCTGTGATCTAAATAAGCCTTTGAATAAGATTTTTTTATTGTATTTGAAGATATCTTAAATTTAGATATTACTAATTTTGAAAAATATTTAACTTTTCTGGTAGCTTCCATTTTTATTTTTAATCACTTTATTTGTAAAATATTATTGCCTTTATAATTTTCATTTATATTTATGTTAATCACAAGATTAATCTAGTTAGTTCCTTATTTATTTTTACGAATTATATAATTATATATATATATATTAAACATAAACCGTATAATTTTTATAATTTTGTTTATTTTGATTTCTTTAAAATAGTTTTCCATTGAATTAACTGTATTTATATATATTAATATACAATTTTTATTTGTAAATTAAAATGCAATGATTTATTTTAATTGGCAAAAAAAAATTTCATTTGGGCAAAACTTAAATATTTATAATAAATTGTAATATTTTTCATACTTAATTTGGGTATTTATTTTGAACATATTATTTTACTTTATTTTTTTGTTTTGATACTTAATATTTTGTTATTTGGATTGTATAAGTAGGTCATTTCAATGATATATACAAGTTTTTTTGATATCATATGTAAATGTGTACAATATTTAATAATGAATTTATATTTTATTCAAATTATTCTTCTAGTTACTTATATGCTGGGTTGGGCAAGATACTTAAAAAAAAGTATCATGATATATGTATTTATTGTATCTAGATACAAGTTATATGTATCAAATATTGATACTTCCAATTGAATTTTATTAACTTTTAAATGTAAAAGGTCTATACAATGTACTATACTGTCCATACTCTATAGTACTTTATAAATTAGGTACTTGTGGTATTTAATATAAATATTAAATAATGCAATAAGTCAATATACATTGTAAAATTATAACTAAATACAAATATATCTCTATAAATTAGAGTCTATAATTTATAAATACACCAAAAATAATAAATTACATAAAAATTATATTTTAATTTTTACTTATATATAATTATAAAAGTGTATAATTGGTTATGGACTTATGGTTTTAAATAAAATGTTATTTTTATCAATAAATTCTTGATTTCCTTAAAGTAAAATTAATTTTTCAAACATTTTGTCTGATAGATTAGATCTATTGGGTGGGTGCACTAAACTAGTAAATGTAAATAAATGCTGAACAGGAGCAGATGAACACAGACTTGTATTATATTTTATAAATAGTTATGTAAATAATTTAATGATTTGTTATTATTTAAATAGGTAATAAGTTCAAGCTTATTTTTTTGATTGCTTTTTATTTTCAACTTGAGAAGAAAATATAAAAAAACTTTATTCAGAATCTTTACTGGATTTATGGTTACTAAATTCATTAATTATTTTTTCTGTAACATTTGTACATAAAGTCTATTATTATTTTTCGGTGGCCATTAATGTAATTTTGAATTCACCTTAATTTAAAATTTGGATAGTATCATGTTGCTAAAATAGCTTCATCGATTTCAGGAGATAGTCCAAAAAATAAATTAAACCTTTTTGTAAAAGAACTAATTAAATGTGTAATTAAAAAAGCGCAATATTTAAAAAAATTTTCTTTTAAATTTTCTAATCGGGATTTTAAAGAAAATAATGTTGTATTAAAATTCCGCAGAAACAATTATTCTGAGCTTGCAAACAATCTAGGGAGCAAGCTATTGGTTTTAGTAAAATTAATTCATCTAAATATACTAACTATATATTTAAAGCTGGAATTGACTTTTAAATGTTGGAAAAGTATATTTAATTTGTCCCTAAACTTTAATAATTGTCTCAACACGTCATACAAAGAATTCCATATCGTTGGACATGGATAAAAAAGTGAACAATCTTATAAAATTGTGTATGATTTCCGAATATTTTGATCACCTAGACATATTCCACAATGCAGTACATTTATCCCTAGACCTAACTTAGTTAATAGATCTATGCATTTATTCTATTAACTGATAAATTTTTACTGCTGTTGAAAAGTCTGTAGTTGCTATTAGGCTAAGTGTATGGCTAGCACATCGTAAATTATGAGGAAGAAATATTGCCTGTTCATTACTTCTATCATCTTCATCCACTGCAATAAACTATCTTACAAGGTATATCATTGTGTAGTAAATGTTTTCAAAGTCTTTCATTTCAGCTCAAACGCATCTGGACAATTATTTTTCGTAAAAATACAAATCGCGACGAAATTATTTATTTAAATTAATTTTTTTATTTCTTGGTACTATTCAGTACAAATGTTTATAATAATAGTATCTTGTATCTTTTGGCAAAAAAAAATACATGATACAAGATATATTGTATCTTTGATACTGCCCAACCCTGCTTTTGTTTAATAAATAACTATATGACTCATTTAGGATTAAATACGAATTATTTATAAAAATATAAGTTTTAAAAAAGTTAATAAATGATTATTCTAAATTTGCCTATCAAAAATAAAACTTTCTTTCAAAAGTAAAATTATAAATTACTTTTCAAAATTTGACCTTTTATTAGTTGGTATTTATTAGAAATAAATATCCTTAATTTAATACATATGTCGTATGAAAACAACAATCATCATAACTATTTTGTTCTAATAGAAAAATCCAAATTTGTTGGAATTACTTAATATTTAAAATGTAGGAGTAATTTTAAAATAAATTTTATGTACGAAAAATATGCAATATTATTGATAATTATTTTTTTTTAAATAAGTCCAACATGTTTTAAAAGATTATGAATTTCGCAGTTGTAAAATTACTTACTGTTTTGAGTAATAAAACTACCGCATGAACAATTTTGAGTAATTAAATTTACCAAATTTTCTATAATAATTCTAGCTAAAATTATACTTCAATTTTGTATACACAATTATTTGGTACGTATAATGCAGTGGTTCCTAAACTGTGCACCGCGGTGCCCTAAGGGCACCATGGTCTACGGTTCATAACAAATAGTTTAAAGTGCATAAAATTGATTTTTCCTTATTGTTTTCGAAAAAAACCTTATAGCAAATAATGTAATATTTTCTATTGTATAATCGGATATTATCATTTTAACCCTATAATATTTTTATATAATAATTATAATCATAATAACAATAATTTTTAATTATCTATTTTTTATGCTTAAAAATGCATTAATTTATAACTAAGTAGTACAATTTTATTAAAATTAATAAAATCGGTTATCAATAGATTTTTTTTTTTTGTTCTTTCACTAATGTTATTCGCAACCAGGGCACCGTGGCTTGATTTAGTCCAAAATAAGGCACCGCGGAAAAAAAAGTTTGGGAACCACTGGTATAATGCATTTTACCGACACCTATTAATGTAGTCACTATAATAGAATGTTACAAGATTATAATCTTAAGAGCCATAATTTTCTTCTCTTTCTATCACATGTGCAATATAGGGATTTAGACGTTTTCTATTTCCAACTTACCAATTGATTGTTGGGATAAGAATTTTAAAAATTGATTTAAATTCATCATAAAGTCTTCTTCAGATCAACTTTCCCACTTTATTAATTTTGTCTCAATATTTCACAAATTAAAATTAAACAAATTGGAAACATAAAAATTAATTTTTGGGTATGTTATGTACAACATTTAAAAAATGTGAAAGAGTTGATCTAAAGAAGACTTTACGACGAAATCAAATCAGTTTTCAAAATCATTATTGCCTTAATAGATCGATAAGTACGTTGCAAATAGAAAACATCCAAATCCCTATATTGCGCGTGTGATAGAGAAAGGAAATTATGGCTAGCAATCCCCTAAAGTCTGGTTCTTCAAATATTTTTTCTTAAAATAATACCCATAATAATGAACATAATACATATAACATAATCTTAACATAATACCCATCATGTGTAAATCATAATCTTATTTTAATTTGGATGATTCAAAAATTATTTAATATTTTGTTTTAACATTAATTAAAGAAATGTACCTAGACAAATATTATAATTATGTGAAAAATTATTATATATTTAATAGTTTTTTCAAAGGTTTTTTAATAATGATGACATTTTTTTCTTTTTAACCTTTGATGTATGTGTCATTATATTGTCCATAGAAGTTGAACTCAAATTCAATTTTTTATTGTCTGAGTAATATTTTTTTTGAGCTTCTTTTTCCTCTTCATTGACTTTGTTATTAAACTCTATGTACTCCTCAAGATTTCTTAAACAAATTATTAACTGCCATTAACATTTAAGACAAAATTAATTGTATTATCAGTTACTTAGTATTATATGGTTCATTGAGAGGAGATGAATATAATTCATATAGATTGAGGCTTTCATCAGATAAATCTTTGTGGAGAGGATTATTTAAATAATCTTCATACGTCTCAGTTTTAATATTTTCTTGTAACAAAAAATAATATAAACATATAAACAGTACATATAGTTAATAATTCACAGAAATTATACTAACTTTGAGTAATGGTTCCTCCTTCTAATATGTATTCACCAATTTCTATATCTTTTCTTTTTAATAAATTACATAAATTTTCTTGATTTTTTTTTAACAGTTGAATTAATTTTAAAAGAGGACAAGTCAAATGGAAATAAAACTAGATAAATTAAAGTTTAATAATTAATCATACATATATCTTATAATAAAATCAAATCAATACATTCAATTTACAAATAATAATAAGTTTACCATTATTTGATATTAAATGTTAAAGCACTTTCTTTGATAATACCTATATATGGCCCTACTATTGCTCTTATATTTCAATATAATTTCAAAATTATGCATCAATATATTATTTTCAACTGATACTTACGTAATCAGGATCTTTTAACTCCAATTCTAATTCCAATTTAAATGGATGAAAACCTTCGGTTAAAGTAATTATCATATCAACTTTAATATTACATTTCTCTGGATAAAACTCATAATTTATATTATTTGTATCTTTAATATTTTGCAAAAATTCAATAACATTTGATTCTTCAACTTCAATCATTAAATTGCTCTATGAACAAATAAAATAGGTAACAAAAAATAATGATTTCAACAAAAATGTCCAACATTTTTAACATTTATGATAATGTATAGGTTTAAATACTTCATTAATGTAATTAGTTTGTTCCACCACAATCATAAGGTAATATTATTCAAATTATGTATGTAAATCTATAAGGTAAATAACCTATATTATATAAAAATATTTATACATATTGTACTCACCGAATAAATTGAAGCAAATGAAGATTTATGTATTTCTTTTGAGTACATTTCTTTCTTGTTGGTAAAATTAAAAACATACCAATCATTTCTACTAATAAATTGAAAATACATAAGGTAATTTCTAAATATTTTTTTTGTTGATACCCACATATTTAAACTTTAAATATAATACAAATGTTAACTATAAAAATACAATTTCAGAACTACCTAATTAGAGTATTTTTATAATTTTAAGATAGATATTTAACATTTGTTAATTGTTTTTAAATAATTAGGAATAACAAAGTATTGATTTGCTTTTCATTCATAATTTATTAATTAAACAATATATAGTAAGATCAATAAATCTTATGTTATAAAGAATAATCAGAAGTCATATATTTGTCATATGATAATCATAATGTTCATATTATAGAATTATTACTATTAAAATATTACCATTATCTAATTAGTATTTTTTTTATAAAAATAGACAATGCTTATGGAAATTTTAAAAAATTATTATCACTGTCGGCGCAGTCACAAATTTAGATATTTATATATAGATCACGATGTAGATAAAATGTTATCTGCATTATGATATAGATATAGATATATCTTAATTCGTGGTTGCACTAGAAAAAGTATGGTCTTCATATACGGTTATACCTATGTATCATAAAATAACCATACAGATTTATTTTTAAAATATTTTCTTCCAAGAAATTTTATAATATTATCTTCCAAGTAATTTGATAATATTATCAACTTAATTATTAAGCGGCTTGTTTGTAAGTTTTTAGTCGTTTGAGTGGAATTGTTATTAATATCAAGACATATAGTATCTATTAACATCTACTAGTAGAATATTACACTCAAGTTTTTCTTACTAGAAGTATGTATCCTTTAATTTCAATAATTTTGTCAATAAAGTAACAGATATTTTTGTAGTTGTTACAAAGCTTCTTTTTTTTTATAAATTTTAACTAAAGTTTCATACACAGAATAATTTTTAAAATTGTTTACATCTAAACAGGGCCGTATTGAGGTCTGGTGACTCCCCTGGCAAATCATTCTATTTGCGCCCCCTCCCTCTCCCCTCAATGGGAAATTTGAATTTTTTATAAAAAATCTTTTGAGATATATAAAGCATGTATAAAAACATACTAGTATACAAGGTAATAATTATTAATAAACTTCAATAACTATTTGTATTACTTTAAAATAAAACAATTGATACATTATAAAAACATGTAATTTTCTTCTAATGTTTTTGTTATATAATTGAGTTAGATGATTTTAAATTTATTTTAATACAATATTACAATGGTACTTTTCTTGCTTTTATAGAGGCAACTTTCTCAAGAAAATTATTAAATTAAATTGTTTAAACTACATCTTTTTCATATTTTGTAAAAAATATTACACAAATAGTGTTGAAATTTGTGCCCCTGGCTAACGCCCTCTTGCCCTGTACTGAATACGGCCTTGCATTTAAACCTTATCATGTTTTATATTTTTCTTTTTTTAGTATTAAGTTATATCTATATAAAGTAATACACTTAGGCTACTTGATACATATGCATTTACTTGTGATTCGCAATCGTTTCGCCCCCATCAAAAAAACGAGTCCACGGACGTTTTGTCCATGTCACGTCCATTATTAAGATAGGACATTTGGCCTCTGGGAGTTACATAAATTTATTTTAATTTTAATATTTGTACAAATGTGACAGGAATAAATAATCATATAATATTTATAATTTATGTTTACTTAATATAATTCTACCTAAATTATTATTATCATTATAATTGTTTTTTTTTTTTTTTTTTATTGGTCCATGCATGTGACCGTTCACTGATTGTGGCGTGTATGGCTTATGCAATATATGGTTATTGTGGGTTTAAAATTGTTGTGCAATTGTGCGTTTTAAAAATAATTTAAATTTTAACTTAAAAAAAAAACTATTTAAATTTACTGATATAAAATTCCAGGGACCTAATGTCCTATCTTAATAATAGACTAGGACAAATTGTTCATGAACTCGTTTTTTTTTGACGGGGCGAAACATCCTTTTACCATTTACTTGTATGTTACTTAGTTACATGTTTAATTTTTTTTTTCTAGTTGCTGTTATGAACTGCTGTGTACATAATATATTTTGATTTTATAATATTTTTATTAATTATTCAATGTTTTCAGTACACTTTCATATATAACTTTTGATTAGTTACTTGATAAATTTGTTGAAGTAACAACCCCTATATATATATATATATAACTAAACATATTCAAAAGTTATACTAGTAAAATCACATTAGTTTTTCCAAAAAATTATGTTTTGGCATTATAACATTAATTTTATTCATCACGTTTCCATAAGTAAATCCTGATTATTCCTTCACAAGAAATGCTTTTTTTTTTTTTGTTGCTTAAGTAGATTATGATTTATAGGTAAAATTATTTATTTGTTTATTTCTACGTCTGATGGAAAGTTTAGGAAGAATATTTTAATAGTATAGTTAAATATTAAAGATTACAATTAAAATACAAAATACATAATAAAAATAAATATCAACTATTTATAGTAGTTTCCATTTCAAATAGCAATAGGCAAGCTAATGAATAGTAAAAACATATTTAAATTAAAACAATACATGATCTGAGTCTAAGATTTATCTTATATTTCACTTAAGCTAATAATAGGAGACTAGGATCCAAGTTAATTATATGTGTTGTAATTTAAATAGGGTCATTATATAAATAGTAAGTTCAGTTTATAATTTAAATGTTATATTTTTCCATTATAAATAACTACTTGTTATATAAATTAAAACTTTTTTTGTTTGATTAGATTGTACATATTTTAAGTTATACATTTCTGCTTCATTACTTTATATTTAGTTTTATTACATTTTAACAGAGTCATCAATAAACAAACAGCATCATGACTACTATGCCAGTAAATCCAAAACCCTACCTAAATGGTCTTATGGGTAAAACTATTATAGTTAAGCTTAAATGGGGCCACGAGTATAAAGGATTCTTAGTCTCCACTGACAATTACATGAACATACAATTAGCCAGTGCAACAGAATTTGTTGAAGGTAGTGAGCCTGCTTTATTGGGAGAAATCATGGTTAGGTAAGTTTATATTGTACTTAAATAATTTGTATAAATTGTTAACCAATGATGAAATTATTATATTGACATTATTTATGTTAATGATTCTAGGTGTAATAATGTGCTTTATATCAGATCAGTTGATGATGAAAACGAAGGAGTTGATGCAGAGATGAAAGATTGAATGATTAACAAAGTTGAGAAAATAAAATGTTAACTTTTTATGTATTTCTAACATTAAAAATTAATTTTCATTGTATAAAAAATGACTTGAAATTAAATACTTTTATATAAACTAAACAATTTCTTAAATGATTTCTATTATTACACTAAGGGTTAATTAAACTATTTGGCACCCTATAATATTAAAATTTCAATAAGTAATACTAAAAAGTTGTTGACTTGAGTTTAAGTTCTTGTCATTATTTGTAAAATTTGTAAGTTATTAGCCCCAAACAACTCATAGTATCTTGCATTTTTTGTATGTTTATAAATAAGATAAGAAATTAAAGATGATTGGGCCAACAAGGCAGTATCTTAATACATTTTTATTTTATTTTCATATTAATATTATGATATTCATAAAAAAAAGTTGTTATAAATATAGTATAAAATAAAAGGTTTTTTAATTTTTAGCTCCTACATTTAATCTATCAAACAATAATTAGCACTGTTAATTAAAATATTAAAATTTTAGTTTTTTTCGTTGTTCAAAATATGCAATATTAATTTTTACAATTACATCAACATTTCTTGATTGTGTTTGTTTAAAAATATCTTGTTTATCACTTGCTAGGCATTTTTCCTGGCTTTATTAAATACTAGTTCTCTGGTATTTATTAAATAATTAATTAAAATAAATAAATAAAATAAAATAATTAAAATAAATTTATTAAATATTAGTAAGTAGGGAATTATCGTCCTATTGCAAATAATGGAAATACGGCATTGTTCTGAAGGAAATAATAGTCAAAGATAAATTTTATGCGGTAGAAGATTTTCATATCATCAGCAAAAATAAGGAGTTTTTCATGTTGATGAACAGAAGTAGCTGAATTGACAAATACAGTCAATAAACGTGGAGATAGAACGGCTCATTGTAGTACCTGAGGTATACCTGAAAAGGGAATAAGATAATCAGAGGAGACAAAGGAATACTTACCTATTGTATGTTATTTACTAGATATGAGTGGAGCCATGAAAGAAAGGATACACCAGCGTTGATAACACACGCATTATTAATTATCACATGTCACAGATATATAGAATAAACTTATTATATCTGTGAATTACGTCTTGCCGGAAGGCCGTACAATTCCAGAAAATAAATTTGCGGAACGTATTAATTCCGGACCGTATACCGCCGAAATCAAAAAATTCGAAAACCATATTTACCCGGAACGTATTCATTCGGACCGTACCTACATCCTCGGAATTAGAAACGTTAAAAACCATATTTTCCCGGACTGTATATCGCCGGAATCAAAAATTCGAAAACCGCATTCGTCCGGAACGCATTTCTCCAAAACGTATTAATCGGGACCGTAAATCGCTGCAAAGCAAAAATTTGAAAACCGTATTTGTCCGGAAAGTAAAATCCTGGGGTCCAAAGTAGATAGTCAATATGTTCGAGAGTATTATAAATTATTTATATCAAACCCCTTAAAAATCGACCGTATAAAGTCTAAGCCCTCAGGTTGGCAGTAACACCAGTGGCGGATTTAAGTACGGGGCCAGAAGGAGCTTAATATAATTCATTTGAATTATTGTCAAATAACAGACTTTGGTGATGTTTCGAATACATTACAGTATTTTAAATAACTTTTACATGTATTCTAAATACAGTATAGTGATTTAGAATATTTTTTTTAAATTTTAATCTTATATTCTATATAATTATATTATTATTTTCCGTATAAATAGCATTTGTTCTCAAATTGAATAAACCTAATATATTTATGATTTCCTAGTTCTCCGACACTTGGTTCAATGATATCCATTTTGCAAACCAGTAATTTTATTTTTAAGTTTGCCATTCTTCACGTTAAATGAATTTCAAATGAAAGAGTTAATTCACTGTTTTAATGTATATACACAAATAGTATAATATTGTTCCCTATCATCGTGGAATATAATTTTTTCAAACATGTTAACCTTTTAGTATTTATAGCAAAAAAATTATTCATAAGTACACTTTTTAACCTCGTTTTCGGTCTATGAATGCAATGGGCTACTACAAGAAAATTCTGACCTTTTTCCGACACAATTTTGAAGCATTTCATTAAAAAAAAAAATTATTATTAATGACTGTGTACTAATAGATACTCTGCAGCGAAATGTTACTAAAAATAAATCACAATGTCATTTAAACCTAATTAAGTATTAAGTAAGTTATGAAGTAAAATGATTATTAAAAAAGTTAAATCGTTTTGAATGAGCTCTTATGGTAGTATTTCGGGGTGACATTCTAAAAAATTTGTTTTTAAAAAGTTTCTAAAAACTAATTAAATGTTACAATTCGTTGCTATTGATTTAATCACTGTAATTCAAATATTAAGATCTAAGAAATATATGAAGATATTTTACCATATAATAGATCTATGTGTTGTCAATGCTTGGTTGTTATACAGACGGGTTAATAACAATGAATCTTACCTACCTTTAGTGGATTTTAAAATGTTAATTTCTGAAGTTCTTTGTGAGGTGAAAAGAACTACTCCAAAGAGAAAAGGCCGTCCAACTGCTGAAGAAAACAAAACACAAGGGCTCATAGAAACAAAAAAAAAGAGGGCCATGTTCAGAACTTCCTGCTGAAGATGTGCGGTTGGATGGTATGGATCATTATCCCATTCATGAAAATAGAAATCGCTGCAAATATCCTACTTGTTCACAAAAAACTATGATCTCATGTTCAAAATGCCAAATTCATTTATGTATAAATGACAAACGAAACTGTTTTTTATTAATTATTAATTTATTATTAATTTTTATTAATTTAACTGAATTACCCGTCGTTGCCGGGTTTAAGTATATAAATGTATGTAACCTGCCAAGATTAAATTTTGTTAAATCTATTGAAATTTAAATTAATTAAGATTTTTGAAATAATATTTTATACATATTAATTTAGTTTTTAAGATAATGATTATTATCATAACTAGGGCTCGGAAGTTGTTGCATTTGCATGATTTTTTTGAACCATTAGATTTATTGCTAAGTAAGCTAGAAATTCATTCCAAGACACGACGAAAAACATATCAAAAGTTTTTAGTGCATATTTTTGCATATTTAGTGAATTTTAGATTTTAGAGCATATTTCTTAATTTTACAATTTTTTAAAGCATATTTTATAATTTATGGAGATTAGGAGATTCAACATGAAAATTTGTAAATAAAAAAATAAATACATTCATATTCAGAGACCTTACTAGATATTTTTGTATCGTATTATTCAAATTTCCATTTGATATTAAAAACTGTTTTTCCCCTAACGGTTAATATGATATAATATTAATATATAAACATAAATTACAACTACAGATAGCTTTATCTAAAATAGAATATTATACAAATCTAAAATAGAAACAGCTGCTATCGAAGTACGACGATTTTCTATAAATACTTTTATAGGAAAATAACTCAATGATTATTGACTATTGTTAATGGCATTTATAGACCTACCGCTTAGATATTTTTGTCAGTTCCGGCTTATACGCAGGGCCGGATTAACCTAAGTGCAAAAGAAGCATTTGCTCCAGGGCGGCAAATTTAGTGGGGCAGCATAAATAAAATAGTTTCAAAAAATTTATTTAAAATCGTCATTAATACAAGAAACAATGTCCAATTTATCAATTTTATGCATAGAATCTGATTTGGTTGAGGAAATGAAGTGATAAGAACTAGCATAAAAACTTGTAACTATTAAATCCATAAAAAAATATAATTAAAAAAAAATAAAAAATTTATAATATATACATAGTTATATAGTAATAGTTTTTTTTTTTTTTTTAATTGGCGTTAATATTAAAAATTACTTTAATTATTATCTATATATTTTGAACCAATTTATTAATATTATAATTGTATTTTGTCAGTATTTTCCATTAGTTTAAAAAAATTCTTTCCAAAATTATTCTGTGTCATTTAACATATACTTATTTATACTTTTTAGTTTAAGTAGATTGATTATTATATTAGGTACCTATATTTTATAATATATATTTATAAGTAGTATTTTATTTTTTAATTTATACATGAAAACCAGGATTTTTTTTTCGATCTCACTTAAATCTTATTTCTTTAAGGGGGAGGGGAGGGGCAAACATTATTTGCTCCAAGGCGGCATCGGCCTTTAATCCGGCACTGCTCATACGTCCGTGTTATCTGTTGTAGTTAGTAGTTCTATGCGTCATTCTTGTTTCAATTACCTACTTATATTATTTTTATTTCATAATGCCGAGAACCAAAAAATCTGCGAAAAATCATTTAAATAGTTTTGTTTTGGAATATGGTACGGATATATTCAAAACCGACGGAAGTATTTTATTCTGTAAGTTATGTGAAGTGAAAGTTAACAGTGATCGAAAATTTGTGGTCACTCAACACGTTAACACTGAGAAACATAAACGAGCAATTATTAGAAAAAACGAAAAAAAACACAAATTCTGAAATTCAACAGCTAGTAACTAATACTCCGAAAAAGTGTCTTTTTTCATACGATTTGTGTAAAGCATTATTGTCAGCAAACATACCACTTTACAAAATAAGTATTCCTCAATTAAAATCATTTTTAGAAAAGTATACGTCAAGAGAAATTCCTAGTGACTCGACACTACGCAAAACTTATGTTGACGACATATACGAAGAAACTATAAAAAATATAAGAGAACAAATTAAAGGAAATAAAATATGGGTGTCTATCGACGAAACAACAGACTCTGAAGGGAGATATGTAGCTAACGTTATAATAGGAACTTTAAATACTGACGCACCGGTAAAAACTTATTTGCTAACAACCGAAGTTTTGGAAAAAGCAAATAATTCAACGATAGTTAAACTTTTTGATCATTCAATGTTCGTCCTCTAGCCAAACGGAATTCGTCATGATGACGTCCTATTGTTTGTGATCGATGCCGCACCATACATGGTGAAAGCTGGGCGAATACTTCAATCACTGTACTCTAAAATGATACACTTAACATGTCTCGCACACGGTATCCATAGAGTAGCCGAAAGTATACGGGAAAAGTTTAAGAAAGTTGATAAACTTATTTCCAGGGTTAAACAGGTGTTCTTAAAAGCGCCTTCACGTGTTTTAGTGTTTAAAAGTGAAGCACCAGCCATACCAATTCCACCAGAGCCAATACTAACTAGATGGGGTACATGAATAATGGCAGCTTCCTATTTCTGCAAATATTACAAGGATATACGTAGAGTATTACTAAGTATAAATTCTAAAGATGCAATTTCTGTTAAAGAAGCTCAACAGTTAATTCAAGATCCCAATATGGAAGCTAATTTAGTATACATCATTGATTTTATAATATATTTATTATAAAATCAATGGTATACATACATTCAAATTTTGGATTTATACCGGAATATATTACGAAACTTGAAACACAATATATTTCACTATCCGAAGCATTATCTGCAGTTAAATATGTCCAAAATAAATTAAACGACTGTGAGGGTGAAATTGGTGTTGCGGTATTTCAAAAATTCAATAATGTATTGGAGAAAAATTGTGGATTTAAAACGATACTTAATATTTCAAAAATATTAAGTGGACAAGAAAGTTCAATGGAAGGTCTTCTTGATGATTTGACCGGTGACGATATTACTTACTTCAAATATGCGCCGATTACGTCAACTGATGTTGAACGTAGTTTTTCAAGGTATAAAACTTTGCTCGTGGATAATCGGCGATCTTTCAATTTTGAAAACATTAAAAAAAGTTTAGTGATCCAATGTAACACTTTGGAAGGTAAGAACAAAATTATATCCAATGCATTTTAATTATTAATTAAAATACTTTTTAATTAGGCATGTACCTGGTGGTTTTTCTAATTTAGTAATTTGTGTTATGTATTTCAGGTATATAAATATAACTCGACAGAAGTGCATTTTTTTACTCAAGGAACATTTTTAATTTTTAAAGCGATTTTTTTATTATTTTTTTGTTTAAATTATGATTATGAAAATGTTGTGTAAAATAATTAAATATAAGTGCATATTTTTAGAGCATATTTGTACTTTTTTAAACGCATAAGCGCCGGTGTAGGGCGTCGCCCGTTACCGCACAAACGCGCAAAATACGCATGGGACAAAACCTAACCTGCATAAAGAGTACAAAGATAAAAATTCAGAGATTGGAAAGTGGCTTAAAATGTTTTTCGGATTACCGTATTTACCGGAAAATTTTGTTTCCGATGCTTTTGATGACATTTTATCTGAAGCTCCAAAACATAAAAAGTGCACGGAGTTTGCTAATTATGTACTTGAAAATTATATTGACACTGAACAATTTCCTCCTTCAATGTGGGCTGAAGAACCTAATGGTACAAAAAGAACAACTAACGGTGCTGAATCATACCACAGTCAACTTCGGTTTGAATTTTATATGCCACATCCATCTGTTTTCCAAGTTGTACGTTTTTATGTTTTTAGATTGATGTTTTAATAGACCAACAAGTAATTAATGAAGCGAAAATGCGAGAAATTAAGAAGGGAACTGAAGCAATACAGCGAAAATGTGATCGGGAACGAGAAGCCAATTTGGTATATCAGTACTCGCTTTTATTAACAAACTGACTAAAATGGAATATATAGAAAAAACAGGTTTACATTTTAATGTAATAGGTGTCTACAATAACATTTATGTTTAAATTATTACATTTTTATTACCATTACTAATACTACTATAAATTATGACTAAAAATTATTTTTATATAATATTTAATAAATTTATGCGGTATCGTACCATTTGTTGTTTGCGGAATTAGGCTATACCTTTTTATAAATCTGTGCGGTATCGTACTATTTTTGTGTGCGGTATTGGGTTATGCATTTTGTGCGGTATTGGGTCATGTTTGTGCGGTAATGGAAAGCGCCGGTGCATGCATATTTAGTACTTTTTAAGTGCATTAAGTTCCGAGCCCTACCTATGAATAATTATACTGTGCTATTTAACACGTGTTTAAATAAAGCAAAATAATTATAGATAAATTTTTATTCTTCAAGTGAAAAAAAGGCGGCAATTTTTCGTAATCAATGATATCATCTTTATCAATAATACTTGCTATGACTTATGAGCGCTAGTTGTTAGTTGGAGCCCATAACAGCTGATTTAACGAGTCAAATTGGTGGTCACTTCCGCCTTGTGTGTAACATTGCTAGTTGGGTAACTTGTATATCTATAATCATGGAAATAACCCTAACATATGTTGTTTATGCGATAAGACCACAGAAAATAAAAATATTTATCCGTGGATAACTATAAATTGATTAAACCAAAAATCGAATTCAATAATATTTTCGATATAAGTAATACGTTAGTACACCGTATTTGCGTGAAACGGTAGAAACATATGAACAATTTTTAACAATGCTTCTGAAATATATTTCCATTTATATATATAATTGTGAATGTATATTATTTCTCTGCAATGTATTATAAAAATTATTAAATCTGAAATGTTTTTATTACCTGCTTACCTTTAACTTAACGTAATATTTAACTGAAAAACCTTCATATTTTTTACTAACTTCTTAAAGAATAGTTAAAATGCCTTCAGAAAGACGTTTATGGAAAATAGTATTCAATAATTTTTTGAAATCTTTTAAACCCAAAGAGATGGAAAAACCAATTGGATCTGATGCACAAGGCAATCAATATTTTGAAACACCAGCAGATCCTCAAGGTGGTCGTCGTTTACCAAGAAGATGGTTTGTTCCAATTGATGAAGAAATTGGTGTACCAACTCCAGAATGGTCGCAGTGGTTGAGAGGACGACGTGCTGAACCACCAACTAATGAAGAAATTATTTATAATGAAACTATTGCAAGTATGAAAAAAGTTAATGCTGAGAATATCGCTAAAAAATTTGAAATTCCAAATTCTAACAATGATGGGACAGAAATTCAACAAAATGCTAAAGGTTTTCCCGATATGTCAGATAAATTTGAAAGGCAACCGGGCCAGTTTAAAAATAAGTTAAAATAAATTTTAGTCTTTAAATGTAGCTAGACTTAAATATATTGTCTCTGTTAATACAATATTAATGCATTGTTGATTATTTCAAGGATTAATATATTTTTAATTAAAACAAATGTAAATTGTAATGAAGTCCGTATTTATTTTTATATTATTGAAACTACTTGAATTATTTGTTGGGTTAAAACAATTTAATTTCTATTTTACATAATGCAAAATCAATTCAATAGTCGATATTACAGAAATGGTTTTCAACTTACGATTCATGACCGTTTTCTAGATGTGAATTTAAAATTATTTAACTCTCTTATATTCTTATATCTAAGTTTAGTATTGATTTGTTAAGAACAGTAATATTGTCAAATTTTTCTTAAAAATGAACGGATAGCTTCTATTTCTTTTAATAATAATATATACAAATTGACAACTTTGAAATTTATATTTGTACATAATAAGATAATGAATTAGTTATACAGTAGACAAGTTTACATAATTGAAGAAATAAAGAATTAAAATAAATAATTAGACTAATATTAAAAATGTTTACACTGTATATAAGGTTATTTATGGTTGCTTGAGAAATAATGCAGTAACTTGGCACCAATAACTACATTTAAAAAGATGTTGAAATTCCAAAACTTACAGTATATTTTTTCACTCAACTTCTGAAGGTTACTTAAGGATGATAGACTTTTTAAAACTTCTCATATAATCAACATATAAACTATAATCATAAATAATAAACATAAAGGAGAAAAAAATATTTTATTTACAGAATGTCGTACACAATTAGTTATAAAGTATATTCTGAGAAATATTAGAATAACTAAATAGTAAAATAAAATAATATACAAGTATAATAATAATAATTATAATAATGGGCATGTAATATTAGAACTAAAATCAACCAGAAAAGTCACTATGATCAAATAAAGCTTGGTCATAAAGTTCAGACTTGACTAAACGACCACCAAAAAATCGACCATTTAAAGAATCTCGTGCACGTTCAGCTTCTGAAATATAACCAATCATCAATTAATATTTTTACTTAAAACTTAATTTAATCAAATAAATTACCTGACATTTGAGTAAACTCAACAAATATTTTTACAATTGTGTCAGAGTCATCATCTACACTATCAGATTGTTTTTCTTTATAAATAATAACACGTTCTACAACACCAAATCTATAAAATAAAAATACATTTGTTAAAAAATATATTTAATTTTCAAAATTGAAATTTTTTATAATAAATATGTATAAAAAAATTAATTACTTGCTACACTCATCTTGAATTTCTTCTTGTAAACTATCATCAACATCTTCAACGCCAACCATATTTCTTAGTATAACAACCCGACTCTAGATTAACAATAAGGAAAAATTTATCAACTAAATTTTTAATTTTAAAAATAATATACTAGAACTATTTAAAAAGGAAATTGATAAGACAATTTAAAAACCTATTTAATTATGGCTATGATATAATTTTGTATATGCGACCTAATGAAACACAATGCTAATTAGCTACACACATTTGCAATAATATATAATTTGAGAAATGGTAAAAATAAATTAAACAAAAAAAATAACTGACTGATTCTTTATATCCATATTAGTTAACCATAAATATTTTCATTAATTAATTTTAAACTGTGATAGTCTTTATAGTTGCAATAGTAAAACTAAACTATCTATGAAATTAAATTCTAATGGTATATTTGTTTAAAAGCCACTTAAGCATGTAAATGATAATTATAAAAATATTTGACGCAGGTTATTAGAAAATAAGGAACTTTAATTTAAAAATAAATAAGGTATTAAATATAATATAAAACATTATTTTATTAATTTCAATTTCAAAGCGTTTACCTCAGTTTTTCGCATTAACTTTTGCATAACAAGATGTCTAGCACTTTGTCCTTTAATAGACATATTTTCTTGCTGTTGTAATGTTTGAGGTTCAGTCTCCTCTAATAATTTTTTCTGTAATTCTTCTTGTTTTTTTTGTTGATCTGCTCTTTTTTGTGCATCTACAGTTACTGTAGGAACAACAGGTGCTGCTAATTGCGTGGGATTGATAAGTGTTGGTGGAGGTATAGATTGTTGAATAACTGGACTCAATCCCGTAGTTACTAAATAACAAAATAAATTAATGAATGCTTATGATATAGGTAGGTATTACATATAATAAAAAATGCAGAAAAATACATAATACGCTCAGATGTAAATAACAGATACTTGCAATCTAGGTGTTAAATCATGCAAAAATATTTTGCATAAATGATAATTTTGAGCATATATATATATGTTTATTAACTCATTATTTATCATTTGTTTAACATATTTGCATATAAAAAAGAAGAAGATAAATTAAAGATATATCATAGGCGTGCGCAACAAGAATGCTCTGGCACCCCTCCCAAAATATTGCAGACGAGGTCTTACAATTTAATTCTTAAGCATTTGGTAAAACATAAATGATGTTTCGTAAAAGAAAAATAAAATAAAATTTTCTAAATTTTCGAGCAAAATTATTATGATAATATAACAGCTACAAAAGTATAAATCATAAACAATTGGAGCTATCTGAAAAAAAAAAATAAAATTCAAGGAAAACATATAGGCATATCATATAATATATATTTTAATTTATTAAATATATTTATACGTTTTGTTAATATAGGGTCCAAAAGTATTGTAGGCATTCCCTGAAATACAGGTTTGCGCACGCTTTTAGCTATAAATATGAATTATATAATTTCAGACAAATATATAACAATATCAATGTTTATAAATACTAGTGATGGGTCGAACCTAATTTTTTGGTTTCCAACCAAACTTGAACTGAACATTTTCAAAGTATTACGAACTCAAACCGAACTATTAAATTTTTTTATCAAACTAAAATTTGAACTCACCATTATTTTCCCCTATATTAATAAATTGAAATTATGAAAATTTTACTTAAATTGTACAAAATTTAATACACCCAAAAATATATAATAAATCATAATATCTATTTATTAACATCTAATACTATTATTTCTGATAACATTTTTAAAAATACAGAGTACAAACTAGAGATGAGCAAAAAACAATGATGTTTTAGGTCGATATATCGAAATTTTAACATCGATGATTTGTTTTCGATTAATCGATTAAACATCAATGTTTATGTACAAAAAGTTTGAATTTTTTTTTTTGTATTATTTTAGTATGCAGTATACAGAAATTGTTATATAGTACACACTATACAGTTATAATTAGGGCTCATAAGTTCATGCACTAAAAAAACGCATAAATAAGCATGCAATAATGCCACTAACTTTTAATCAAATATGCATTAAAAATCCTTAACTATGCACGAAAAAAAAAAAAACGTCTAAGGATTTTTTAAAATATTAAGAATCATCCATTTATACTTTTTCTTTGGTTACATTTTATTAAAATTATAATTAATGAACATATGTTGCGATAAAAATAGATAGACAAGAATTTTTTATCTCAATTCTCATATTTTCCAATGTAGCAAAGAAAACATGCAAATGCATGAACTTACGAGACCTGATTATAAGTATTTAATATGTTTTTAAATAATATAAGTTAAACAATAGTATTTTAACTCTTAAATTTATTATTTAATCAAGAATATAGTAAATTCTACAGATAATAAGGTGTGCAACAGATGGTAGCTCTAGAGGGAAAAAAATTTTTTTCAATGTTTTTAAACATCAATGGTTTTTCACCGATTTATCAAATACATTGAATATTGATGTTCAAAAATTTTTGTCCATCCCTAGTACAAACAACATTAATATTTTTCTTTTTCACTTTTCCAAAAATAAATTTGTGGTTTTGATCATATATATCAGGGATGGGCAACTCGAAGTTACTAGAGGGCCAATTTTTAGAAAATTTAAATCTAGCGGGCCAGAGCATAGAAAAAAAAAAGGTCAATCAAAATATGAATTTTAATTAGTATTTATATATATGGAAATAATAAATTCAACACACACGATAGCATAATCCGAATGGTACGAAGAAACTGATATAGTTAAATAGTTTAGTAACAGCTATGGTTGAAAGCCATACTTATACATACATATGACATTTAGATATTTAACGATGTTTAATACTAGATAAAAATTATTAAATCGATAACTTAGAGAATAAATTTTAAAATTGTATGATGTAATTTTCAAATATAGCCAGATAAAAAAAAATGGTGGGCCGTTTCCGGCTCGCGGGCCGCCAGTTGCCCATCCCTGATATATATATATATGAATATCATATATCACACATCATATAAAAAAAAATCTGTAATATTACCTATATTTACAAAAATAATCTCATGATTTAACACGGAATTATTTTATTTTATCATACCTAATCATAATAATATAAAAAAAAAATAGTTAATACTACTATGATACTTACTATAAACTATAAAGTATAGAAAATTAATTTTAGATTGATTAAGAATATTTTCAAGTTCAAATTTCATACATACCTAAATGGTAAATAGTTCAGTTTGATTTTCTTTCATTTTGAATTCGGATTAAGAATCAAACAGTTCGACCCATCATTAACAAATACATTAAATTTAAATCAATATAATTTCCATATTTTTTTTCCATTTCATTAAAAAAAAGACAATTTTATCCCCATTTTCATTATTTTTCAATTATCTAAACGTTAATTGTAGGATAAATAAAGATTTATAGATGTTTATAGAAAAAATTTTAATTGATTATCTAAATACTTTTTAGTTATTATAACCTGAGTTTTGCCACCTATTAAGTAAATGCTTATCTTGCAGGTTTATAAAATTATAAAAATTAAATTGTTTGCTAATAAATTCTAGTAAGACTTAAGTTTTCCTTTGTAGAAAATATAAATCAGAATAAATCAAATTGCTGAATTTTTAAATGAAAAATAACACTTATAGAAAAAATAAACTTTTTTTTTCAAGAAACTAAAAAACTCAAAAAATTTACCAGGCAATATTGGTACTGGTGTTCTTATCTGTTGTGGTATTGCAATTCCTGGTGGTGGTATAGTAGAAGCTGGAACAGAAGGAGTGATACCCAATGTGGTGGGTAATTGTTGTAAACCAGGTAAAACAGATGTTTGACCACCTAATTGAGAACTTAATTTACTTAATCCTAATACTGCATTAGTAGCAACTGCGTCCATTGCTTGAATTTTTGCTGTAGCTGCAGCTGCAGCAACAGCAGCAGCAGTAGGCATATGACTGGAAGCTGCAGGTCCCTAAAAAAAAAAATAAAAAAATAAAAATAAATAAAATTCTCATTACATAATTGTATCGCAAAATCATACATGAAGAGCATTTGGAGGAGTAATAGCACGTCCAACTCTCAAATACTGGCCACCAAGATCAAAGAGATTCATTGAAGATATTGCTTCAATTGCTGCTTGACGACCTTCATATTCGATGAAACCATAACCTCGATGTCTATTAGGAGTACTGCCTTGTGCAAGTTTACAGGTGCGAATGGGACCAAATGCTTCAAATACACTTTTAATATCATCTTCAGTTAAATCTGGATGAATAGATGCTACATAAATACGATTATATTGTTTAGCTTCTTCCTGGATCTCATCAATTACAGATTGAGCTTGAGGCATGTTACTAGGACGTCCAACCTGAGAATTCACAAAAATAATTAATAAAAATAAGCTCATATTAAATTATTTTTAATAGAAATTATTTGAAATGGAAATTAAATTTCATAAAAATAAACTTTTGTAGATATTATTCTTATTCCTATTAACATTAAATCAGTAGTTCTTAACCTTTTGTAGATCAAGGACTTCTAATAAAAGATTTTTAGAAATTGTAGACCCCTTACCAATTTTTTTTTTTACAAAATAATTCATGTTATTAATACCAAAACTATCATAATTATTTTATGTAATAAATTACATTATTAGACATAACAAAACATACATATTCATAATTATTTTTACTAAACATAATTTTTCAATTAATTTAAATTTAATTCTTTTAGTTTTCAATACTTTTTTTTTTAGCATTCTAAAAATTTAATTTTTATTCACTTAAACAAATGGTTGGCATTATACTTGTGACACAAGTTTTTGAACACCATACAAAGACAAGATATTATATAATAAAAAAAAATAATAATAATAATTCAATAATATTGTAATTATGCATTCATGTCACATATTGAACTATGTTATATGTTAAGGGTGCTGCGGACCCCCGAATCGTGGACAACAGTTTAAGAACCGCTGGATTAAGTGATAAAATAAACTATAAGTTCTACTTACAACTTTAATATTACGACCACCAAGCATTACTCCATTCATTTGTTCAAGTGCAAGTTGAGCAGCTTCTGGTATTTCATATTCTACAAATGCAAAACCTTTATGCTTTTGGGTGATAGGATCCCAAGACATGTTAATGGATTTAATACAACCAAACGGTGAGAATGCTTGTTTAATTGAGTCTTCTTTAAGTTCAAAACTAATACTTCCAACATAAACTCTAAAAAATATGTCAAGTTTGTAAGCCATAGTTATTATGAATCATATTTATAAATTTAAACTCAAAACAATCAGATCTTATCAGCTAATTAATCACTCACTAGGGAAACACAATAAATGTACAAACAGATATTAGTCTCAACCAATTCAATATAAAAAATAATTTGACATCATATTGTTTTAATAAAATTGTTAAATAGGTAATGTTTATCTTGCTGACCTGCACATTAGAATCAAAGCCTGGTGACGATGAAAAGACTTAGCTTGTTGTTGTTGGTGAGCTAAAGTTTGTTTCATTAACACCATTTTAATACTTTGTTCCATGGCATACTTTTTTGCTTTGGCCACAGCTTCATTTTGTTCAGTGCTTAATTTGATTAAAGGAGCAGCAAGAGCACCTAAAATACCAAGTCTAGAACCAGGACCTGAAAACCAATTACTTTAACATAATATCACTTTTTTGAAAGTTTTAGGATATATTATATTATTATAAATAGAATTACTGAATCACATAACCAAAAATGTAGCAATAATAGAATCTACAGAAAATAAATAAATGCTGAATATCATTAAATATTAAATCCACCAAATATCTTCATATTTCAATGTATGTAATCATGTATGTATCTAATGTATATAAATAATGATATAAACTAAAATTTGATACACAGTTATCTTCAAATTCAGACATGATTTTATGGTAAATTTAATAGGTCATAACCAAGTAGTGAAATTATATTTCAGAAAGAGCAATCAAATTTTCTACAAACTTAAAATAAATACGTGAAAATAGACAATTTTTTTTTTTTTTTGAGTATTCTGATCAGAATTTATTATTCTTTAATTATTTTTTTTTTCTAACTGTGACAGACAAAACCATGCCTGCAAAATGTAATATTCATATAAATATATTTTTTTTTTTACTTGTTTATTTAGATTTTTTCTTTAAAAACATGTTAAATGTCTTTGGATTATAAAAATTTGTTTAAATTAAATAACATAATCAGAAAATAATTCTAAAGCATTATAAAAAGGTAAATATATATAGGGTAAGTTTATTTTATAGTTTTATAATTTTAACATATGAATACTTAAGACAACATTTTTGAAATTAAATTATAAGTTAATACCTGATATTAATGTCCCAACTTGATTGAAATCATATGGAGCTGTAGTGAATGATGCATTGCCATTGACTGAAAGGAAAAAACAATGTTAATAAAATAATTTAACTTTAAAGGAAAAAAAATTAAGACACAAACAATTTAATTTATAAGAATTAAATAATGCCTGAAAAAATATTTATTTATTTTTAAAAATATTAAATAGTTTATGCAACTTTAGGATATTTTAAAAATTGATATGAATACATAGTATTCATCTAAATGAAGAAATGCTGACATTCGTTAGTTTTAAATAAAATGTCAATGAATAATTATTAGTTTATACAAATTTTATGATTTATAATAAGGTGATAAATGAATTAATACTATTTAATTTTCTAAATTTTTAAAACTTGAAAATGTCTTTCAAAATATCAATTTAAAGTTACACAAATAATAATTTTAATAAACATTAAACAAGCAGCAAAAAATTATTTAAACATTACTTATAGAGAGAGAAAAATGTATGATTATTTGTGAAAATTTTATCATTTTTTTTTTTTTTTTTTATAAGATTGAATTTGTAGAATATTATTTACTGCATGTTTAAATATGTATCAAATTACACCATTAAGGTATTGAGCAAACATATTGTGTTTCCATTTGAGAGACCTTAACCGCAACGGGTAGTAGGCCTGACTTGCTCAGGAGGCTGCACTTGCTAGTAGAGGGATATTGGTCCGGAGACAACACAGAAGAGCATGACGAAAACAAAAACAAACCAAAATAAAATATAAAGTAGGTAAATGTTTAAATTCTCCTAATTTAGTCGTCATTTATACTTACAACATTTTAAACAACCACAGGCCTACACAATGGACCAATTTGAAAGTTAACTCCAAAACTGAAATCAATTGATCCAAAACAAACACAAAATTTTGGATGAATAATATATTTCTGGAAAATACACCTACATCCATTACATCATTTATAAAATAGAATTTAGCAACCAAGATATTACCTAATGTATTAACCAACTAATTACACTAAAATGTAAATTAAAATTAAAAAGAATAAGTTGCTGAATTATAATGGAAATATTGATGAATTTATTCATTTTCAATTGAATAATTATATATCATTGGTAAATTTTTGGATAAATTATTCTAACATACTAAAAGAAAATTTTAAATCATAATTTGTCACAACCTTTAGATGAAAATAATTTAAACATTATATTTTTGACGAGTAAAATCATGTCCGTTGAACAATGGTTGAAAACAAATTCATCATAAAATAATGATTAAATGTGGATCTGCAAACATAAGCATACCAAACATAATTGAGTCACAATTAGCTTTTTTGTTTCTATTTGTTAATAAGATAGGAACATTCAGAAGAATTAGATTAGTAAATTAATATTAAAAAAAATAATTACATAAAAATAAATTTTTATAAGTATTGTACACACCCTTCCCTACAAACTAGGTAATTTAATCTTTTGATGTGTGAGAAGTGTATAGACTAGGACTATCAGTAAACCGCCTGGAACATCTCAAAAAAAAAAAAAAAAAAAGAATATTGATTAGTTAAACCAGTAAATTATTGGATTTGGAATATCATATTAAGAAAATGGTTTATTTGCTTAAACAACTTTATTTATAAATTTAATAAAATGAATTCAAATTTCAGTATAAATAAGAAGTCAATCAAATATTTTATACCTGAAATATGGAACAAAATAAAAATTGTATTATAAGATTAATTAAATAAAACATCCTTAATGGTTATAAAAAAATATTTATTTTAGCTATTTATGTGTTTATTAAATTAAAACTAGTTCTACTAAAACAATGAAACTTGTTAATAGAATAACTCATAAATATATATGTCAATAACACATCAATAAAAATTATAAAGTATTAACTGCAATTTAAGAGTATGCAAATACATTTTATGAAATAAAATGGTTTTAACAGTTTTAAAAATGTATAATACACAAAATAAATAAATCATTTGACAATAAATTGATGAGGGTAATTGATTTCATTTTTATTTATCAAAATATAAAAATTTAATTTAAAACTCAAGAATTTTTACTTAACCTTAAAATATTTCAAAATATAAAGCAATCTGAGGATAAATTTATAATATAATCATTTATATATTATAATACCAAATACAAAAGAATGAATAAAAATTGCTTATAACAAAAAGGGATTTAAGTACCTTTAATGAAAAACATGTTTATTTACTTAAATAGAGTTAAGTTTCGAAATAGTATATAAGATTAATTTAATAGTAATTATAAATACTATACCTTCATGTCTGGGTATTTTAGCTTCTGGTTCACCTTCTGTACCATTTGATATGGCTGGATCTATGGTAGATGCTGTTTGATAGTTGTTAGAATTAGTTGTTGGCAGAGTATTGATAAATGGTTGTTGTTGCTAAATAAGTAAATAAATAATATTGAAATGTATATAGCTAATATTTTTTTTTTTTTTTTACAATCTTTTAAATAATAAAAGTAACATATTTAATTTAAATTACTAAATATTAATGAGATGCCCAATATAACATAATTTATACTTAAAAAAAAATAATGTTGTAAATTTTTAAACCCTGGTAGAATAATATAACATGAATTACATTAAACTTACATTATTATGAAATGTTTTAATTATGATACATTAATTAATATTTATTGGTGCATTATTTCATGGATATCCTTGTGATACTAACTTCAATTAATTTATTATCATTTTATATGCAGAATAGTTCATCATATTTCTTAAAATAACATAATGTTGAACAAATGTATTATTAAATTAAGAAAATAATATTAATTTTATTTTCTAACTGTGACCCAAAAGTTTTTTATTTTATTAAACATAAAAAAATCAAAGAAGTCCCATCATTGGATGGGTTCTTCGCTCAAGTCTTCAGTCTTCTTATATAAATCTACTACAACACTTACACTTATTGTAAAAATAATATATTTACAGATTGTGTAATAAAACAAATAAAAAAAAAAAAAAAAACATAAAAAATCATTATCCAGATATTTTTGTCAATAGTTAATAATTGATAACAAACTATTTTCGTATTTTGGCCTATAAACAATGTTTAGTTTTAAGTTTCGTAATAAAGTCACAAATTAAAAATATAGTATAGATCCATATGATACAGATTAATGATTTCCAGAAATAATGAAACTATTGTACATAGTAATATAAATAAAAGTTTTACTACTTACAAAACCAACACTTCCGTTCATCATATTTAGTTGCAAATAATAATAAAATCTAACTAGAATGAAACACAATTATTTAGTAATAATTAAATGGTACTACACCTCTATAGAAGTGTAATTATGAAAGAAATATAACATGAAAATTTAGAGTAATTCTTATGAATATAAAACGTTTATATATATACACTAAACCGACGATAAAATGAAGATTACACAATAGCATGAATCACTGAGCCATAAGGAATAATTTAAAATTGTGAAAAAATCTTTTGAATAGAGTTCGAAATTGAAAGAAATGATTAGATTAAAAAAAAATAAAATAAAATTATATTAATGTTATGACATGACTTGAACACAAAACATGGAGAAGAATACAAAAGAAAATGGATGAACCAAAAATAACCAATCACAGATTAGGCAGTAATATTTTATCATGGAAGAAAAATATCAGATATTTTAGCGCTATAATATGGGATGGGTCAACCCTGATAAAGTATGTACATAAATGTTACGTTGATACGTAAAAATATGTATAATTGTATACCTGAATAAACTAATACTTTTTAAAATTACTTTCTTTTTAATTATTAAATAAATAAGAATATAACACATGAATACAAATAAATTTATATCTGAATGGCCCAAATAGGAAATCATCAAAAAATAAATTAATTAAAATATCCAATAGATTATGTTAATATGAAGGAAAAATTGGGGAACATTTTATCTTACCTGAGCCTCCATAGGCGCAATTTGTGAGGGACTTGGAGGGAGCCCCTCCAATATTAAAATTAGCCCCTCCAAAAATTTATATTTAAATTAAAGTATTAAATCCTTCATTAGTTATCTAATCTACATAATACAGCAAACGAGATCAATCAATTTTTATGATTTAATTTTTAGGACCTATTAAAGGAGGATTTAAATACACTTCAATCAGAAATGCTTGTGGTAAAAAACTGTGTGACCCGTAGAAATCACAGTTTCACTTTAGAAGATATCAAATCAATCATGGATGCAGAGCTTTATCCAAATTTATATAAACTGATATCATTATTTTTAACAATTCCAATTAGCTCTGCAACATGTGAAAGATTATTTTCAACAATGAAAAAGATTAAAAATTGGTTTCGAACATCTATGAATTAAGATAGATTTACAGATTTGTCATTAATTTATATAGAACGAGATTTATCGAATGAATTTTCTAACGAAAAAATATTAAATAAATTTGCAATTTTAACCGAAGGTTCCAATTATAATTATAAACTTAATAAAAAATTATAATATATTACATTTATTTACCTAATTTTCGTTATTTTTTTCATACAAATATTTTTAATTTTATTAATAAATGCATTATAATATATCAAATATAGGAAAGTAGGTGAGAAAAATATGATATCGCTATATCGGTAGTGAATGGGGGAGGGATGTGGAGGGCAGAGCCTCCCACAGGTATGTTTCATTTAAATAGTGAGCCTCATAATTTAATTTTCTTTAGTTTTTAAAGTCTAATTATTATAAGTATATTATGATGCTCTAATATTGTAAAATATTCACAATGTACCTATATCAAGGATGACAAATCAATGGCGCGCGTGCTCAAAGTGGCACGCGAAAAAATTTAATTATTTTTACTATAATATATATTATATAAATTATAATAGGTAAAAATATTTTAAGCATACGGATTTTATCGGTCAATAACGATTATTCAATTTTATTTGTAGTTAAAATAATAATATATAAATTATATAATATTATATAATATTGCATTTAGTATGTTATTTACGTTTATTTTATTACGTTGATATTTTGAAATGTAGCTTGTAGATTTTCAGTCGAGTACCATATGGAAAGAAAAATTCGTTATACTGAGAAATGAATTAGAAGAAATTCAGCATGATAGGGCGATAGGCATATTGATCGTAAACATAGGGAACAAGATTTTGAAAGTGTGGAATGAGATTCCAGAAGATTATTCCAATTTAAAAAAGTAGCATTAGCTGATTTGTCTATATTTTCTTCAACTTATTCATGCGAGTCATTATTTTCAGAAATGAATTGTATAAAATCTAATTTAAGAAACCGACAAAATGATGAATGCAGTGCCACATTTATTATAATAAAAATATAATAAATACAACTTGTTTTGTTCGTATTCGTATTCGTCATGTTCACATAGAACAAGGCGTTAAAAATAATTACGTAATAGTTAATAACAAAGTATTAAGTTGAAGCATAAACATTTATATCCATAAAATAGCTAATAACCTAACTTTTTATACATTAGTTTAATTATTTAAGCCTTGGGTACTTTAATATAGTGGGGTGGCCAGTGGGGAGACCTGTAAATATGTTGGGTGGCTGGGCTACCCCTTAGCGGACGACTACGAATTGGTTCCCGCAAACTTTCGCAACAATTTCCTTCCCATTTATTCAGACTTAGGACTGTCTAGAATTCAAATAAGTTCGAATAGTTCAAACACTATATAGAATACTAGGTATGGTTAAAAATGTTGCTCAGTATAATATATTAATATATACATAATATACGCTACATACGTATTTATCAATAATAATAATTGTGGTTGTTATAAATAAGTAATAATAATGTAATAATAAGTCAAAATAGGTAAATAATATTAGAAAAAAATTAGTGTGGTATGAATTTACAACACACATTTTTAACGAATTGTAGATTCGAAATTTGGCCCTCTCTCAGTTTTTTAATATTTTCATCAATAAACTTTTCTTTTTCAGCAATTTTTTTCGACTCTAATTTAATTGAGCTTCTATGCTTTATGTATGTTTCGTACTGTACTGCTTTTAATTGTTCAATCAATAAAAAAATATTTGGGTGGGCGGAATAAAATCTAGAATTCAGTTTTCCATGAAACGATTCGCAATAGTTTGTTGTTCGTTCTGAAGTGGCTGAAAAATCTGCCCAAATATTTGGTAAAAAATCACTATCATTTTCAATATTATTTTCAAGTAAATAATCAAAAAGTGTATCAAGTTTTTCATGTACTGGTTTTATAGCCATCAACTCTACATAAACGTTTTGTATTATATTAGATGGCAATAAAGGTAATCCGAAAAACTATTTCAATATTTGCCCAATCTCTGAATCTTTATTTTTGAACTCATCTGAGAGTCCTAAAGATTGAATTTTTCTCCACCACGCCTGTCCTAAGTGGAATCTACATCTTCTTAATTTAGACTGTGGCCAAACTTCAGATACTGCCAAGTGAATAGCGTTTTCAAAATCAGCAAAAATAATTTCAGGCCTTATGTGATGTTCTATAAATCGAAATGCTTGTTTATAAGTAGTCAGTGCCGCAAAAACCAGGTGTGCAGAGTGTACTACGCACACGGGCCCCAAGGCTTGCATACATTTAGGGCCTCCTAGTGCCAGCCTTAAATAAACTATACTTTACAAACACACAATTATTTAATAATATTATATTATTATTTTATAATAAAAAGAAACTTAAATAAATACATAAATACATAAATACATAAATATGTAGTAAAGTATAATATACAACAGTTGTAGGTATTTAATTTGATATATATATGTTACGGTAATAGTACGAATACCGGTGAAACCTAGGATTTACCGGTAAATCCTAGATTTTACCGACTGCGATCGGTAAATGTCCGACATTCGGAATTTTACGAGCAGTATTCGTTTTACAATTGTCGCGGTTAGTATTACGAGTAAACACAGTATTCAATATGTCGTTTAAAATACGATTTTATGAAATTTTAAATGGTATTGTGGAGTTAAAAAATGACAAAAATAATTTTTATTTAATTGATGAAAAATATAATATATTTTTAAGTGAAGTTAAAGAAGCTAAATCTGTTAGTGTGAAAAAAACAGTTCACTATCGGCGACTTAAACGGTTTGATATTGTCAATATTGCTGGTGAAGAAAAGCTGATTGTTCCGATAAATGACAACTCTGAAGTAATGCGTTATTATGTTCGATATAATGAGTTATATGAAATTATCCACGATAATATAATATAATGATGTATCAAGACCATTTAACAAAATTTTTTATTTTACGACCATTGAAGTTCAAACGGGTTGAAGAAGTCGCATACTGCTTACTCGATATTTTTACCCTTTTCGGTGCACCAAATATTCTCCACTCAGACAACAGAAGAGTTTGTTAATGCTGTTATTACGAATTTATGTAGCATGTGGCCTGAAGTGAAGATAGTTCATGGAAAAGCTCGTCACAGTCAATCTCAAGGTTCTGTAGATAATATATATATATATATATATATATATATATATATATATATATATATATCTGTAAATAATATTTATATTAAATAAAAATATACATTTTTGTCATAATTACATGTTATAATAGTGTGCCTACAATATATCTCTGCGATTACCCACATGCTGTCTACAAACATTCCCCCCGCGCGCGATGGCACTATCGCAAACTGATTTATACGATAACGTAGCTTTATATTGATTTATACCGACCAGCAATCATGATGAACTATGCAATCAAAACTAATTATTATTATGTTGAACAATATTAATATCAACACGAATGTCATGTGGTACTATGATGCACTATACACGTACAATGCTCAAGAATAAATATAGGTAAGAATTATCACAGAATCGGAAAAAATATATAATTTCGGATTTTTACAAACATTGATTGTCAATCCTAAGATTTACCAAAACTAGCTTGTGAAAGTCCGAATTGCTAAAATCATTCGGGGTTTGACCAAACAATAATGTATATCCTAGGTTTTACCGGTAAATCCTAGGTTTCACCGATATTCGTACTATTACCGTAACATATATATACATACATCATACACTAACAGATAAGAAACGTGTTTTATAACCTAAAAAAATTGATATTTATAAATAAGACGTACAATAAAAATAAATCCTAGGAAGGGGCCTAATATAATTATGGCACACGGGCCTAAATTTGTAGTTGCGGCACTGTAAGTAGTACTGTTCTTGTTGGGCAGTAGGAAAAAAAACAAACGGAAAATAATTGTTATCTTTTACACCATAAATGGTAAAAAGCTGGTAAATCAATTTTGGGCAACTTTTAAAAGTTCCATCAACAAACACTGTTTTCATTTTACGGAGTATCTTTAAATTATGTGATTAAGTAAAAATTACAATATTTGTTTCACAATCATTAATTTATTTAAAATTTTCACCACGATTTGTTATTACATCATAATTATCTAATGCTTCATGTAGTTCTGTTAGTCTTAGGTAATTAAGGTAACTTACTTGAACGACTAGCGTGAATATTTTGTTTTACTCTAAAAACTTCATGCGCTGTAAGCTGTTCAAAATCACCATTGACTATTAACTCTTGGCAAATTAATTTTGTTGGACATTCAATATTTTCCTGAGCTTTTTTTTTAAGTTATGGCTTAATGCTTGCCTGTTCAATATGTTTTCACTATCTTTCGCATGATTGTGTTCGAGGTTACATTCAATATTATTTAAATTATTTATTTTTAAAAACGATTTGCATTTTCTTATTGTACAAGTTCAACGTTCCATATTTCCCGATAGTTGTTTTTGGAATCAGTATTTGAAACCGTTAATAACGAAGAGTTTTTTATTTTTTTCACTGAATATCACTTCCATTTTAACGCACGCGCTAGGTTAGTTGTCACAAGACTGACGAAAAATAATCAATCTATTAGATATAAAATTATATTTATAAACTTTCCCAGTCATCGTAAAACCTAATAAAATATTATAAGATTATCGATTGTACATATACGCACGAACATATAACTAATATGTAGCATAAACATATCTTGTAACAGTGAGTTTTAGACTGATAAACCGATAAGTTATTTTATTCGGGAACCAATTCGAACAATTGTATACTGGAAAGTTTTTTTCGGGAACCAATTTGTACACAATTAATTGATCCGGAAACCACTTCCACGTTTGTCCCCTTAGCCACGTGTCTGGTTCCAAGAAAAGTAATAAAATACCTACGACTATATCAATATGATGTGATTAAATTACTGATTATCAAATCGTAGATATTAACTTTTTTCGAAGTTTTAAATAGTTTAAAAATTTAAAAAAATCATTCGAAGTATGGAGAAGTCTTAAAGCGAGGAAAACGGGAAAGTGAAACATTCAAATCTCAGATAAAATAATTTGAAAGAAATTTAGACAATTTATTTGATATCGCACACGCAAATGCATTTAACACACTTCAAACACTGATAGACTAAATGGAGCGACTACATTTTCGGAGCAGTGATTGGGTTAGACATTCTATACTTGGCATCATGTTTCGAAGTTGATTATCCAGGCTGTATTTAACAAGGCAAAATTAGAAAAAATTAATAAATAATAAATCATCAGAACCAGATATAGCAATTTTTAAACAATTTAAGAATGCACGAAAAAATTTAATAAAATAAATATATTAGTTTGGAACACAGATATATATTTTAAAAAGATAATCTCGTCAAAACGTGAAAAAGTTATGTCATTTTGCTTAAAAAAAAATCACTGAAGACCACTCTAGGGATGATTACGAAGAGTTTATTGAACTTAATTATTATATTTGGAGAAACTCCATATGGTGGAGTAAAAATTCATCAACCCGGCGCATATAACCAGGCTAGATGGACGGAAAAACGCATTTACTGTCTCAAAATATTTCTATTACGGTCTGAATTCAAATTAATTAAGTCAAAAGAAAATGCCATAAAATGAATCTGTGTACTTACAGTTAAAAATTATATTAAATAATAGTTTCATTTAATGTTACGACTGTGGTAGAGGTACCATTTAATGACATCAACTTAATACGTACTTTAAATGCATACAAGGGTGATGATAAAAATTTTGCAGAAGCATATTGTCAATATAAAGAATGTACAGTATTTGCTATATTCGATGAAAGAATTTCATTAGAAATACGAAAAAATGGCTAATAAATTCATAGATTATATGGAATTGACAGAATTGACAATGAAAGAAGAAGAATTTTTACCAAGACCAAAAAAAAATTGCTTAAAGATAGGAGATGTCGATAAATATTTAAATAAAAAATAACCTATCAATTTGTTAAGTTGGAGATTATGTAAATTATTTAAAAGATTTGGAATTTCTACATACTTTCTACAATTGGATCCTACTTATGTGGACTAATTATCCTGCATAAAAATCGGCAAAAAAAGTTATTGGTTCGTTGAAAATTTTTAGTGGTGTAGTATAGAAAGAAATAAAACTGATGGAAGATTTCAATAAAAAGTTCACATAAAATGAAAACTAAAAATAATTCTAGCTACAAGTTATAGTCACAAAAACTATAGCAAAAACTAAGTAAAACATAATTTTAATAATTAATTTGCTTAAATGTATCTAATTTTAAGTTATTTAAAAATACGTATTAAAAAAATATAAGAATAGCTTTAAGTGCACCATTTCAAGATAATGTATAAATAATAATTTATTTTATTGATTAGAATCGTAAAAAAATATGTATATACATAAGCGGAAATTTGATGAAATTAGTGGGGGACTGAGCATTATTTGCTTATTACACCTATAGGTACGGTACTTAGTCTAACCTAAGGTACCCCTGTACGCAATTATTTATTTCAACAAGGCAATTTACAAAGTTTGACAATTTGACATACTCAACAGTTTAACCAAAAAAACATTTAGGTGCCTTATCTTAAACATTTTTGAAGTAGGTATTCTAAACAGAAATTATTAATTAATTAAATTAAACAACCAAAGCAGGTATTATTACATATTATTAATATTACATTAATTACGATCGTTCCAAGTCATGATAATAAGTTTGTAAAATCTTACAAATTTGATTTAATTTTTATTACAGAATATTTTTTTTAATTTAGTTATTAAAATGCATTTTACAATTATAATAATTATTGTATTTTTAGTCACTTAACAATTTTTAGGGTTATGGGGGCTAAGACCTGTTCTTTTCATTTTTGGAGGGGCTTAGTTCCCTCAAGCCCCATCTCACCGATTTCCGCTTATGTATATATATATTTTTATATTTAAATATGCAAAAATTATGAATCAGACAAATTTTATTGTATCTCTAACCCAGTGATTCCCAACCTAGGGAGCGCGCTCCCCTTGGGGGGCGTATACACATCGCTGGGGAGGCGCAAGCAGTCATCACAAAGTACAATTTTTATTTATCAAATTTTATTATATTTAAAATGGAGAGAAAAAATGAAAAATTAATAGACTGGTTATCGTTATAGATTATAGAATATAGGGTCGTTAAAGTTGATAAGTAATCGATAAAGATTACAAGTGTTTAGCCATAGTGCACCATGCCACCAAGGTTTATAGATAATATTATCTATAAACCTTGCCATGCCACATCGTCCGTAAATTAATCAGTACGATAAGAGAAAGCCAGGAGAAAAAACTATTAGATTAGTTTAGACGCGATTTAGTTTTATTTTGCAGTTGCTCAGTGCACGTCAGTGTCGTAGTACGTAGTCGTCGTGAGTGCACATATATCAAAGTAAGGGCTCCTCCGAAAATAAGAACGTATATCGATAATTATGTCAAATTTGGTTTTACGTTTATTGAAAAAGATGGTGTCCAAAAGCCTCAGTGTGTTATTTGTCACGTTGTATTAAGTAACGATGCCCTCCGACCTAGTCGACTAGAACGACATTTAACCACAGCTCATCCGATGCTAAAAGGAAAACCTAAAGAGTTTTTTGTTGCTAAAAAAAAAATGTTTAAGTAAAATGAAAATTGATCATACTGAGAGTTTCAACAGAATAATAAAAAAAATGTTGAAGCTTCATATCACATCGCCTTCATGGTGGCTCAGCAAAAGAAACCCCATACCTTGGGTGAAACATTAATTAAACCTAGCATACTTACAGCTGTTGAAATAGTACTTGGTGAAGAAAGCAAAAGGAAAATAGCTCAAATATCTCTTTCAGATAATACAGTGAAACGACGTATAGATGAATTAGCTTTGGACATTAAAAATCAGTTGATTCATAAATTAAAACATTCCGTATTCTTTGCAATCCAATGTGATGAATCAACTGATGTGGCCAATTGTTGCCAGCTATTAGTTTACTGCCGTTTTATAAATGAACAGTCCATCGCAGAAGAACTTCTATTTTCTCAGGCTTTAAATTCCACCTCAAAAGGCAGCGACGTTTTGTCTGCCATTGACATATTTTTTGATCAGAATGGTTTGTCTTGGAAAAATGTTGTAGGTGTCTGTACAGATGGTGCTCCTGCAATGCTAGGGTCAAGATCGGGTTTTGTAAGCCTAGCAAAAAATAAAAACCCATCAATAATCGGTTCTTATTGTGTAATACACCGACAAGTTTTATCTGCAAAAACGCTGCCATTTGAACTTAAAAATGTACTTGAAGTATGTATAAAAGTTGTTAATGCCATCAAAAGCAGTACACTTAACTCTCGTCTTTTTAAGATTCTTTGTTCAGAGCTGTCCGCGGAACATTCTGTTTTATTATTCCATACAGAGGTTCGTTGGTTATCAAAAGGGAATATGTTTGAACGTTTGTACGAATTAAAATCTGAAGTGGAAATTATGCTTTTACAATTAGGAAGACAATCTTCGTGAGAATTTTACCGATGAAAACTTCACATTCTACTTTGCGTACCTAGTAGATATTTTTGAAACTATTAATAACCTAAATCTCAAATTACAAGGGAGGAATACGAATATTATAACCGCCAAAAATTCTATAAACTCATTTCTAGAAAAGATACAACTGTGAAAACGCCGAGTAAACAAAGAGACTCCTAATTTTTCGTCTTTCCGTCGATTGAACGAACTTATCTCTGATGAGGAAGAATCTATTTGTCTTGTTGGATTGAAAAGTATAGTGATTGAACATCTTGACTGTTTGACTGATGAATTCATGCGATATTTTCCGGATTTTTCTAATGAAAGTTGGAAACATACGCTAATAAGTTGTCCATTCAGTAGACACGTTGCCGGTTACATTTCAAGAACAAGCAATCGAACTGAAGAATGATTCACGCGCAAAAATTAATTTTAATTAACAGTGGCAGCTTTTTGGAAGAGTTTTGGGTAAAATACCAACCCATTTATCCTGAAATTTCAAATGAAGCCTTATAAGGCCTTGTACAATTTTCATCGACTTACTTATGTGAATCTGGATTCACCAGCTTAGCCATTATAAAAACCAAACATAGAAATCGCTTGAATGTCGAATCTGACTTGAGGTGTTCTTTATCAAACATCGAGCCGAACTTTAAAAAATTGTCCAAAGAAAAGTGTTGTCAGCCTTCACATTAAATGTTAATTTTATTATAAATTCTATTATTTATATTTTTTACTAATTTATTATAATAATTACTCACGTCAATTTATAATTCCACTATAATACTATATTATTTACAATTTTTTTTATTTTATAATTATTATCATCAACAAAAAAGTAGTCTTTCCGAATATTATATAGATTATTTGTAAAATGTAAAGTAAACAAAAATATTATAATTTTTTCAATTTATAGGTGGGGGGGGGCGTGAGATTGTTAAAAATCTACAAAGGGGGCGTAGAATAAATAAGGTTGGGAACCACTGGTCTAACCAAACGAAGTTTTTAAGCAGATGTGCTGCCATCTGCACGCTAGTGATGTGGTAGAGAGCGAGTGGCTCCGACACATATGGAAATCTGTATCAGCTCCCTTTCTATAGAACTAAAGTCATGGTTTCTGATAAATAATTTTACTTGATTTTTTATTATTTCAATATAGCTCGTGACGTTGGTCCTAGAGTTATTACGTTATGTATTACTCTTTGCGTTTTCTCGTGTAAAGTGCAAATGTCTATTGTCGACGGAATTATTTTATAAACGTTCTGATAACTTAAAAAAATTTATTTATATTATTGTTCATAATATTTTGTGTTGGTGTTATAAAATTATTTAAGATTTATCATTGTACAATCTTGAATTATAAACGTTTGACTTAAACAGTTTTTAATTCTTTTTTTTTTTTTTTTGTTAATTTTACTAATGTTTAACGCTAATTCAATTTGATTTATATTCAAAATGATATAGTAATGATTTATTTGAATTTTTTTTATTTAAATACAATAAATATTTATGTTTGATTTTTTTTTTAACTTATTAAAAATCAAGTTGTTATCGATGGCTATTACAAATAAATTATTATTGAGTCAAATAGCTGGATACACCATTGCAGCAATTCTTTCTCTATGTATTATTATACCAATGAGTCTTCATCAAGATGAATTCAAGTAAAATATCTTAAATTATTTATTTACTGTACAGTGTACATAACATTTGTTCCAATGCTACAGGGGACATTGTCTTTTGTTTTCTTCGGGTCAATGGCTTGAGAAAAATGGTCAATTTCTAGTAAATTGGGCATCCCAAGCATACTGTAATTATTCAATTTTTGTTGGAGTTCTTCTATTAGTAATATCATCCATACAAACATATAGGATGTCAATTTTTGCTTATAAAGGAACTGATAGGTTTGTAATTTATCTGTTATGCATTTTCTAATATTGAATGATAATCTTACTAAAGAGAGGAGCATATTTTGGGGGGGGGGAGGAAGGAGGCGATCACTCCTCCTGAATCCCTAATTAAGGAATCAATTATAAGCGAGATACACATTTCAAATTTTTTAATGTGGATCAGTTTATAACGAAATCAAATTACACGTGGCTGTGAATACTGAATCGGGCATTTTTCGGGGTTCTATATTTAGTGAAAAATCAAGTATAACACATGCGTAACTTTTAAAACACAGACAGGTGTCAATAAAAGAACTACACAAAAGTCGATTCTAAGTGGATCTGGCATTAGATTAAAAAAAAAAAACCATAATTATTAAGGATTTACCTGATTTAAATATTACCAACAATTTTACTTATACATTTTGAGCCTGAATTTAAGAAAAAATTTGAGTTCCCCCCCCTAGAAGTCTAAATAAACCACTGGTTAATTATTAAACTTAGTACACATATTTACTAATATTTTAATGCATATCAACATTTCCTTAGACTAGCACTAAATTTATTTTATAATTTTTAGTTCATTTTTGTTGACATTTATTGATACTATTACTTGTGCGCTGATGTGCGTTTTTACTATCAATGCTGCTTTGATAATAACATTTGGATTTATGACATGGTGTAATGATATGATTGAAAGATTTCCGTCGTAAGTTGCTATTATAATTTTGTAATTTTGTCATAAATGTGATATAATGATATATTAAATTTATTATATTTATTAATAATTTAAAGGTGTGAAATGGCAGCTGGTAACCCGATTGATATATTAGATGGAATAGATACATCCGGTTTTTATTTTCAACTTGGAGTAGCTCAAGTATTTAAAAATATTTTGTTTAATTACAGTATACATTTACCAAATTAATCCTTTAAGAATTTTAGCATGTTTTTGGGAATAAATTATTCATTGTGATTAACTAAAAAATCCTCGGCTATGATCAGATTAATGTTAAAGTTATACTATTTATTTTGAATATTTAATGTATTTTTATTTTTATATTGATGAAATTTAATTTTTTTAGTTTGGAATATGGGCATCGTGGTCATGTTGGATTGGTTTGACAGTTTGTACTATGTGTAAACTTTGTTACTATCACCAAATGAGTAATATGAAAGCTTCAATGTTACGAGAAAGACAGAAACTTATTGATGAAGGTATGGCTGCACCAACTAGAGTAACCCCATACATTCCTCAAACAGATATTACTGCAAATAAAAGTATTAACTCTAATACCGAATCACATCAATCAAAGTCTATTGATGTTAAACATTAGTACATTATGATTTTGTTAAAAAATATTTAATTTTTATGACTATTGTACATTTATAAATTTTTATTAAACCATTATTAATTTTAGTTCCTCAAATTAGTTATGATACATTAAAAATATTAAATATTTTTTTATTTTTTATTATTTTTTCCCATGCTATTTATAATAAATATTTACTAAGTTGTACAAGTAGAATAATATATTTTTCATTTTTCATTTATTTTTTTGTGTGCGTGAGCCTAGGATTAGAGAGTTACAGGTACTATACTTCTTCCCAAGTAAAATTATATATTACAATGCATGTATATTAAATGATGACTATTCTGTAGTATTTTTTAAGGTTTATATCAAATACCATACAAAAGTAGAAAATGTAATTATTCATAAATTGTATACATTTTATTACCTACTAACTATTTAATAATGACATTAATTAAAGATCTAATTAGGTATATTATTAGCTATTAAAATTATATTACATTAATAAATTGATTTTGTTAATATAAAGATTAAGTTGTCATCAATTATTTTTAATTGGTACTATTGTAGAGCCTACTTCAGGAAACACAAAATCTAAGAATATAACCATAGAGAATCTTACAAGAATATGAATTGCAATTTTATATTAAAAAAGTCTTTTAAGACTAACTTTAAAATGATTTATAATATGTTTACTATTTATGCATCAAAATTATAATTTGAATTATAGATGACGAATATATTTTTTTTTTAATAAAATACTATTCACTATTCTGTTATATATTTGTACAAATAACACAATATAAAAACAAAAAAATAAGTAAACATAAAAAATATTTTAAATTACTAAAAATCATTACCAAATTTTAAATTGAAAATAAAACTTAACTAATTACTGATTCAGTTTTACTTTCTATTTCAACATAGTGTTCAGTTCCAATCAACTTTGACAAATGAGCTCGCTGCATTGGTGACAATACCATGCTTTTTATAATTTTTGAAATTAAAATATCTAGGTCAACCTCTAAACCAACTTCCAAAATGTATTCAACACATATCTAAAAATAAAAATAGAAATATTAATTATATAGATTTATAATTGTTATTACAAGTTAGGTTAGGTACTCAATAATTATTGTTCACTTATTTAACTTTCACTCAATTTTTCTATTTCACTAAAACTATTTTACTATCAACAAAAAGATAATTATTATTCATTGTTTATTATTATTGTTCACTAATAAAATTTTAGTTTTAATTGATCTAATGCGATAATAAGTATTTATATATTATACTTGTTAAATGTACTTATTGTAAGAACTATTTGTAAATTACTTGACAAATGCAAGACTGTTGGCATATCTGAATCATTCTTAGTCTAATATAAAAATAAATAACTCAAATTTAAAACAATAATCTTTTTGTCATAAATACTCTAACTTTCATTCTACCGAGTAGTATTGATACTAGGATAATTCTTATAACAAATGCTTTGTTAATGTTTCACTTTGAGCATTACTTTTTATAATTAATAGGTACTCAATGAATTATGCACTCAATGAAATTATACTTACTAATATCTCATTAAAATAATTTTTATTAATACAATAGTTTAGAAAATTAGTAATATTTTGACTGTCTGGAACTCCAATGATTTCATTTTCATTATTTTTCAGTTTCATAATAATTTCAGTAGCGTTTTGAATATTATCTCCAAATAAACAAACTTCTATTAAATTACCTAACAAAGAACCAGTCCATCTAAAATGAAAAATAATAGTATATATAAAAATAATATTTTTAATTTTTTTTTAAATTTAAAATAAGAGTTAAATATGTATTGAAAACAAATTTCTTTGGTTAATTATTTTAATGCACATTGTTTTTGGAATATATATTTATATATATAATATCAATATTAATATCCAAAATTAACAATTCAAACAGAATTACCAGTTTTTATGGAAAGTTAAAAATTAAGAATTTAAAATGAAAATGAATATGCTTACGACATTTTAATTTTTCCAGTTTCTTTTCGTTCTTCAATAGAATCATAAATTGTACCAGCTAATTGACCTAATTCTTCTTTAACAGACTGTTCAAAACTAGGAAACAAATTTTGAGCCATACCATTAGTCAACTCTACAATAACGGGTTCTCTATCAGCTTGATCAAACATTAAAATGTCTGACCATAATTTTGGATAAAACTCAACTGCTGCAGATACATTTATAGATTTTACAATCATCTACAAAATAGAAATAATTATATAGTTTAATATTGTAACCATTTAAATAGCTACTAGAAATAGGTAAGATTTTTAATAAAATAATTGTGAACTACAGTATAATTCAAACAACAATATTTTACCTCAGTGATAGATGGTTCGGGTATATAAATATGAGGTACCAAATCATTGTAATACTTCATTAATAATTCAGTTGACTCGTTTTGACATAAAATAGCAAAGAAATGACGACTATAAATGTATATAAATATAAATAAAAATAATATTAATACATTTAAATTAAGCTATCATTCTAATAAAACAAATCATGTGTGTATATAATGGTTCTATATACAATTATTAAATAATATATTTGAACAGTGAACATATCAAAGTGCAAATAGACAATTTTAGAGTTTTGTCTATAATAATAATAGTGTTAAGAGGCAAATATATAAATGAAAAAATATTTAATTTTAGTAAATATATATGTATATTATTTATAATATATTTTAATATTATAAAACATTAAAAATGAATTAGTTCATTAGTCTTTGATCAATTTTCAATTAAAGCCATATCTATGGATGTCAATATCGACCAAAGGTATGAAATGATGGCCAAAGGTAAGCTAGGTTTTTTTGGCTGAAATATCAGCTTGTCACGTGCCAGGGAGAAGGGGCTAACGTTAGGTAACACAGAATCAAGGTATACAAACAATTTATTTAATTTGGTACTATTATGAGTGCAAATGAAAAAAGAAATATTGTTAAGCATATCAACCCGTATTTTAGGACTATATATATTCATATATAATTTTTTTAATGAAAGTAAGGATAGGCTATATATTTTACACAGAAAATGTTTGAAAAAAATAAAATTCTTTGTATGCAAATTATAAAGAAGTTGAATGTTAGTAAAATTGATACAGTAATTTTTTCTAAGAAACCAATTATTATTTAATATTTAAATTAAGTTAAAATGGAAAATTAAATTAAAATATAGTATCCGATTAAAAAAAATAATTACTTACTAATAAACTGATTCCTTATAAGAATTTCCAATTAAATTATAATTATTTCCAGTTAATAATAATGAATGAACTCTGAGTGCTACACTAAAGTTTTGTAAATGATAACGACAATTTTCCATAGCAGCCACAAAAAAATTAGTATCAGCTATATCTTTAATGTTTAATGTTTTTCCTTCAAGTAGATTTAAAATGTCTACTAATATTGTGCTTTTATTTTTCTCTAAAAATAAAAAATAGTTGAAACTAAAACAATTCAACTAATTTTATCCCATAACTTTGAACATACTATCAGAGCAAAATATTTGTATTAAATAATAGAATGATGATAAACATGGCTCAATATTAAATTTTTTGGCTTCAGCAATTGTTTTTAATGCATATTTTTTAGATTCTGGACTAATAGCCATAGTAGTTAGAACATATAGAATTGAATTTAAAGTCATCAAATTCATAGGTACATCTAAATCATTCATCTGATTTAATATTTCCTAAAAAAAAAAAAAAATAAAGGAATAGGTATTAAAAATATATGAGTAACTTAAAAATATATATTTATCATCAGTTCATCATAGTTACTAATTAAAAACTATTGTCTTTTATACATAATGTGTAATTTACAAACTTAACTATTTACGATAATTTTAATAATTAAAATAATTTATGGAAATATAAAATGTATTCATAAGTGAAATTGATGATTTTTAATTTTTAAAAATAAAATAGATACATATGCTAAAAAATGATTATTATTCAGTTTGAGTTACAACAGACCTACAGTGTTTTAACAAAAAGTTGAATATTTAAAAAAAATCACCCAGTATTTAAAGGTGACTCTTTCAAGATTGAATATTTCTATATTATTGAGCTATATTTATGACATATTTTGAATATAATAGCTGAAAAAAAGACCATTTATTTTATAAAAATATTGAATTATTAAGTAGTAATATATTTTTCACCAACGGCAGAATCTATATTTTCAAAAAATTACAACTAAGCAATATTAGAAGATAAAATAAAGTAAATTAATTTTAAAATTATAAAATATTTATTTTTTACAATTAAAGTTAAAAAAAAAGTCAAATATTTTCATCTCCATTTAAAATTAAAATTATTTTCTTTTATTTAATTATTTTGTTTAGAATTACTTTGAATATTTTAAAACAATTTATTGAGATTGAATATATACTGTACTATAAATGTTAATATTTTTTCGGTCACAATTATAACACTTAATGTTGATAAGTCTCAAGTAGCTTCAAATTTTAATAGTCTAAAATCTATACAGCTATAAGTATAAACTAACAAGAGTAAATATAATTTTTATTAATTTACTTGTATATGAAGCCATTTATGATCTGCTCCTTCTTTAACATAAATAGCTGATCTTATAGCTGAATTATAAGAATTAATAGATAATATAAGTTTCTTTTCACAAGCTTCCTTATATAACTTGTAAGATTCTTCAAACTAATTATCGGTAAAATATGCAAAATACAAGTTAAAATATTAATTTAATTTTGTTATTAATAAAATATTTTAAATTATGATATAATTATAAAAATATAATAAAATACAAAAGTAATGTTTTTATGAAATATATTTAAATATATAAAGAAGTAAGCAGGATAAAAGAACGTTAAACTGGATTAAAGAAGGTATTTCCCCAGCTTCTTTTAAGTAAGTTTAAGAAGTGTTTGAATTCTTAGGTCTTTGTGGATGATGTGGTTCTTGATATACCATGGAGCAGCTATTGTTATTTGTTTGTTAATTATTGGAAAGATAGTATGATAGAAATATTTGATTTTTTTTTGCTGATACCCATTTTTGTTATTAAATGACATGGCTGGGCATATAATTGGTTTAGAAATTAGTAGTTTCATTTTTAGTGGCGTATTAGAATGGAGATTTCACAGGGAATGTCAATGTATATATAACTATTTGGGTTTGATCTTGATATGGCAAGTTTAAATTTTTATTTAAATAGACGCTTAGATATTTGGTTTTATCTTTTAAGGGAATTATATTATTAAAGTGTAAAGTAAATGTTACATAGGTTGATTTTTCTGTATTCATTTTTATTCTCCAGAGTTTGAACTAATTTTAAAATATGTCCAGGTGATCTAGGACTGATTTAGTTGAGAAATACTTCAGGATTAGAGAATAGTATGGACAGGGTAGGGCAGTATCTTCGATACAAGTAACTGAAATACATACTGTATGGCCATGTTGTTTGTAAATGTGATAAGATGTGTATCATTTGAGTATGGGATGTTGGAAGTAAATATTTTATATAAGGTTGGGGTTAGAATGCTTTCTTAAGGTATATCTGTATTCATCGGATGTTTAAATGTTGAATGTTTTTTCATCACAACATGGCAAAGGTGTGTTGAGATAAGAATTTTATATATGTATATATAAAAGCATAGAAATATTATTTTACCTGATTATACTTTGACATTCCTTGTATTATTGTTGAATAATGATGGGCATTTGGTGATTTAATAGTTGAAAAAAGAGAATTAGAAAATCCATTAGATCTAAAATTATTTTTTTAAAATATAACTCATTACTGAAAAATTGCATAATGTAATATAATAATATGGCACTTACTTCCAAGTATTTCTAAGTTCTTCTCGTTCTTTATTAACTTGTGTATACCAGCGCTCTTCAATCCAATCTTCTTCAATATCATCTTGATTATTATAAAAGCATACTAATTCCAAAAGAGCTTGTTGCGTATCTGAACTTATTTCTAATAATAATTTAAGTAAAGATCAATGATACTTTTAAAAATTAATTTTATAAAATTACCTATGCCATTTTTGCTTAACAAATTATAAACAGTGATAGCATCTGATACAACACCTTTTTCAATAACTTTTTTTAATTCATTTTCATCAAGTTCATGACTTTCATCATAAAAGACTTTAGGATAAAATTTCTAAAAAAAGTGGTAGCAACTTTAATTGTTTTCATCCAAACACAGTAACGTACATATTATACATTCAAACACACACATATATTTTATCCATTATATATTTTTATGCATTTATCAAATTATTTTACCTCAATAGGTGGAAATGCAACTTTATGATTAAATAAATCAGGATGTTGATTACGTATCCAGTGAGCAGCTTTTCTACCAGATTCTTGACTTAAGGCATATGCTCGTTTTTGAAAATTGGAAACTGGTATGAGATATGGATCATCATGATATTTATAGTGAGCAGCAGTTGGATCTCTTTGAATAGTACTTGAAATTGCCTAAACAATAACCAGATTTAGTTTGACATTATTACTTTTTTCTTATAATAGTATTTAAAAACAGACATAAAAGAATAGTACAATTTTATAATAAATTTATATAATTTTTCAATTTCTAAGAATCTATTTCATTAATCTGTAATTTGAATGATAAATCCACATATAATAATATGTTTTGACAAATTTATATGGACGTATAAAGACACAAAGTGATAGAGGTCTATATAATATCAAAAAGTATTTGTTATATACCTATAGTTAAAGGAAAAAGATTAAAAATAAATTAATATTGAATACTATTAAATATGATTTTATATCAAGTAAAATGAAAGAGGATAGTTATGATACACAATTATTTATTAGGGCAATAAAAAATTACACAACTTATTTTCTTAAATCATAAAACTATATATAATTAATAAATAATATATGTATATATAAATAAATAAATAGCTTATATTTACTTTTAAAATATCAGTTGAACTTCTATGTATATATTTAGGAATATTAATATTATCTCCATTACTTGGTAGTTTTTCTGAAGTAGTAGATGTTAAACGAAAAATTTGAATATTTTCACTTGGTTTTTTCAGTAATGTAGTTCTAATGTTGAAACATTATAAAAAATTGTTAACAAATAATTATATATATACAAACATCAGTAAAATGTTTAGAAATTAATAATAATATATATACTTAAACAAACAAAACAAAATCAATATAAGTATACAAGTTTTACTTTTAAACTTAGTTTTTGTCTAATTTAAATATAAATAAGAAAAATCTAATTAATTTAGGGGCAGATAAAATATAGATACACAGTGAATATACATTTTTAGACTACAATATAATATAGACTTTTCAGTCAAAAATCTTACACCATCTATTAAAATTAATACTATGTATCACCCCAAAACAAATCTCGTTCCATAAAGCCTTAGAAACATCTGGTATTGAAGTGATGAAACAAAATTATCTCTTCTTAAACCTCTTAGTATCATCATATAGAATATTACCTAACTTTTGTAAAAAATTCTCTGAAAGAAGTACTTAATTCCAATTAATTATTTGGTACAGTCTTACACTTCATACTTCATATAAACAATTTTTAATAGTCAATAACATGCTCAAGGAAATTAAACTAAACTATCCTTTTCTCTTAAGTATTTATTCTAAGAAAACCTATAAATTCTATACTTGGCTGCATAATTTTTAATAAATTAATAATGTAAAACAATGAATAAAAAATTTAGAATATATTTTATAATAACCAACTCATTTAAATAGAAGAGTAAAAATAGTACCTATGTAACATATAGATATTTATATACCTGAAGCAATTTAACATTTTAAATAAAATAATTAAGGTGCTATCACTAGTGCATAAAAATTATAATTTCATATATCTGATAGTGGAAAAACCTTAATTTGTTGTAATTAATATTTTATTTAAAAAAATTAAAAAACACTAGATATATAGACACTAAATTTTTATATAATTTTTTTTATCTATTTTCCATGTGACTATGATTATTTTGTAATATTGATAATAATATATTGATATGGGTAAATTAAAACAGTATGACCATATTATATGTGAAGATAGTATAAATAAAAGAAGATAATGATTTTTTATTGAGACTTCATAAAGACGTTATGATCGACTACATTTTAAATAATTTAATTGAATTTTATTTATTATCATATAATTAATTTTACATAAACTTAGACTCAAGAGCCTAAATAAACTTAAATAGACTATGAAAATATCTGAATTATATCAGGAAAAAATGTTTATGTAAAGTAAATCAGTGTTTTTAACCCAAAAATTATAAATAGGTAGGTAACTAATAAAAACATAAATGAAAAATGCTATAGAACTGTGTAACATCTTAAACAGATTATAAATCTGTGCAATTGTGTTATTAAGAATGTTCAATTATTCATTTCAAAATGTTGTTACTTCTGAAATACCATCACCCATAAATGATTTGTTTCTTAACCCAGTTTTTCTTCTGTTTATTTTTATATTGTGTACTAGCATACTATTTACTGGATTAGTGTGGTATAGCAATAATCGTAACACTTTTTCAGCAGCCACCAGAATGGTTAATTTTTGTTATTTCACATATAATAAGAAATATTGTTTGAGCATCTGACCCATAAAATGAAATTGTTAACATTTTAAATTTCTTATTATGCCAAAGAGATATAATTTAATTAACCTACTTATTTTAAATTCGTAAAGTATAGTTCTATCCATAGACCTATTAAATTAGGTCTATGGTTCCATTCCTCCGTGAAAACAGGTTATTTTTTTTATTTTAAGTTCTCAAGTTCATATAGGCTTCAATTTTAGTGTGATGGCACTGAATAGAGATGGGATTAATCGTTCTTTTAGGTGAACTATTCAGTCGTTCATCGTTCACTAAAATTAATTATTTCAGAGAACTCGTTCATCGTTCATATTTATTAAAAATCGTTCATCATTCTCCGAACAGACTCAACGATACGGGGAACTAATCGTTCACATAAATGAACGATTCAGTGATTCGGTTATTTCATCGTTCAGATTATGTAATATATTGCATTACGTAGTTTTCATAGTGTGTTTTCCGTACAAACGAGTATATGAACATGAGAAGGTTTTGAAGATGTATGCTTATATTTCAGACCGTCATTTTTATTATTTTTTATTTTTGTTTTTATACATTTTGACATAAAAATCAGTGTATATATGTCTTTAACTAATGTAGTTATGTGTCGATTATATAGTTGAGTAAGTTGAGTAAAAGTAAGCAAATCAATTTAAGTAACATGACATGGATATTTTTCAATTAAAAATAAAAAAAATTAAACAAAAAATAGTGAACTAATCAATCTGAACTTTAAATCGTTCATCGTTCACAGCGAACGGTGGTCTATACTGTATAGACATGGACGATATGAACTAGTTTACATTTAGATGAACGAGTCGTTTATCGTTCATATCGTTCACATCATGATGTGAATGTCGTTCATATTCATGATGTGAACGATATAAACGATAAACGACTCGTTCATCTAAATGTAAACTAGTTCATATCGTCCATGAACGACACATCTCTAGCACTGACAGACAACTGAGACATTTACTCGTATTTTCATTTTGGTGTCTGGAGGCCATAGCCTTTGTGGTGAATGCTGTTGGCACCATCCAGCTCTCGTCTGTGTGTTTTCATGGGGTATTTAACGTGGTATTTATTCATTGTGTCATTGTCCAGTGCTGTGGACCTTTGCAGTTTTTTTGTCTGTGACTGTGCTTTATTGATCGCATGTACCAAGTGCTGTGATTTTATTTTTATTTATTTGTACACTGCGGTATGCCGTCATAGGCAAATGATTTAATTTAATTTATTTATATTTATTACAGGGGCAGGTTTTATCACTAACCAAGGCAGGAGCTAATGGAGGTTTAAGAATTTAGTTAGTTGGTTTTTTAAATTTATATAAGATTTTAAATTACAGAATATGTTTTTGAGTCCCTCATAAGTAAGTCATTTTTTTCACAATAATGACAAAGTTTAAATAGTTACATAATTGGTATCAATTTTAATCTGAAACCATTTTAAAATATAGGTAAATACATATAATTAACAACAAAAGTGAGCTATTTATTTATAAAAAAAATATATAAAATAGGTACCATATTCATCAATGACCATTGACGATATTTTATTATAATTATTAATATATAACTTTGCTTTGTAAAATAGATAGCTTAGTTCCAAGGAAGGGGCTAATGTCCCCTTAGCCACCCCCTTAAACCCACCCGTGATTTATTATTGCATGTGCCAAATAGGCAACATATTTATTTTATACAGTCCACTTATAGCTTAACTGATCTGTTTATTTATTATTATTTTTTTTTACTCATTTTAATTACAAAACTGGCATACAAGATTGCACTTACTGTTGGTAGGCACTTGCTCTGCCTACAATAATTATTAACTCATAAATTACAGAATATTATTATTGTACCACATGATATACACTGTTTCCAATCAACTTCATTAGTAATATAGTTATTTTTTATGTATAGACGTAAAATATTTTTGAATGATAAGTTCCCAAGACTTGATAGTTTTTTGATACCTACTCTTAAGTTCTAGTAGGTTTTGATAAAATTAACGCATTTCACAAATAATAATCGTTTATTTAATCATTATACATATTTTGAAAAAAAAAATCACAAGTCAAGATAATAGGTTAACGGTCCTAAATCGAAAATTAATACAAACATTAAACATAGATTTTAAGTATAAAATTTTAAAAACAAATGTTAAAATACAACTTAATAATATTACTAGTAAAACCTAAACAACAAAAAGGTAGTACATTTTTTAGAGGTTAATATAGAGAATATAGGGATAAAACATATTTAAAAAAACAAACTTAATTCCAAACATAATAAGTATTTTTTAATAATCAGTAATTGTTTTTCTATAAGTTCTTTTTGTCATAAATTACTTAATTGATAGCTAACTAAGTATTTAAAATAGCACGAATATTCCAATGTGTATCATGGAAGAAAAATATAATTAGTTAAACTGTTCATTATTTTAAATTTTACAATACTCTAATTCCAAATGGAATTATGTAATAAACTCAATAAAATTAGTTACAAACGATACAATAATAGGAGCGTAAGAGCTTTATTTGTATATGTTCATATAATTTTATTACATAATAAAATAAACAATATATCTCACTAGTAATGATTATATTAATGATAATAATATAATTATGATTACTTTCAGTGTCTGAAAGACGAATAGTAATTACACTTAAAATATAGGTACTAGACTAGATTAAAATTGTATTAAATAATAACAATAATAGGTAGTATGAGATAAAGATATAGAAAAATTATTACTCAAAACACATAACGTCTATCAATTATGGAAAAAAAAGGGATCAGAGTTGGTCGTCGATTACTTGAAAGTTTAATGTTGATGAAAAGATATATAACCTTAAAAGGAAAAGAGAAAATTATATTTGAAGGTAAATGAAGTTAGCAACAAATTAAAATATTTGCATTTTTCCCAAACAATTAATCAATATAAAAAATAATCAATATAATTTAGTTTTATTTAACAATAATAATTGTCCTAAGAATTAATTTATTAATTGAGTTTCATTTTATTAACTTTTAATTTATTATTAATAGACTGTATACAGCAAGAGAATTACAAAATGTAGCTCGGTTTATACAGGGCGAGAATGTATTATTAATTATTTTTTATATAATCACATAAACAGATTAATGTTAAGTAGTTATTGCTACAGTAAGTTGCTATTGGTTAAAAACAGAATTTTTTGTTTTCATTCAATTTATTTTTAGTAACTTATTTTTCATTCATTCTGATAATAACATTTTAATAAACTATTTTACAACACTTTGAGATCAGTTTTGTCAAGGACATGTGGAAAAAAAATTTTGTTTTGTTATCCCAGGAACTTTAATAATAATAATAATAATAATAATAATTATAATATAATTCTAATAATAAAAAAAATTAATAATAAATATATAAAAAAAAATCTAAGAACGACAAAAATAAAATGGAAGTTTTATTGTTAATTGCAATATAGCGATGCATTAAAAATAGTTTTAAAGGATATTTTTTACTTTCGAGACCAAAATGGTTTAAGTACCTATTGATTTGAAGTAGCGTAGAAAAATAATTATAATTATAAATATATGTGTTCTACAATATGTATTATTATAAATCTGATACCTACATCTATTTAAAATAATTTCATCTTTTAAAATATTACTTAATTTATTTGTTATCAAAGTATAAGTATACACAAACACACACACACACACACACACATATACACAAACACACACAAATACACACACTACAGAGTAATTATTGGTTCATAAACGAGACTTTGAAGTTGTGTGATATCAGTGATCTCTATTTCCTTTCCAACTTCACTAATTGTAACTAAATGGTTTACTACAAGGAGTTTATAATATCATAATTATTTCATTTTTTTTTTTTTTATTATTAATTACTTTTTTTAAACACAACGTATTTAAAAAAACTTCAGAGACACCGAAAATAATGTTCTAATTAATTAATTTTCAAATGACAACTTTTTATTTGAAACTAACTTTGTACTCTTGATACCTACAATGTAGACTTGTAATCAATATAAATGAAGTATTGAGAAGAAAATGTACAAGTGTAAGATCTAATCAATTGTTTCCACTGCTATACATTCCTAACAACGAAGAGAGATGTAACGCTCAAAGGTTTGTGGGTGGTACCTTATCATAACATGGATGGGGCAATAACACAATGAATGACAATCGTATAAATCTTAACTAAGAAAATACTATATTTATCTATCAACTAATTTAATGTATAATTTAATAACATGAAGTAAAGTCGACAGGAAAATATATGTAAATATTTAATTATTTTTAATAAATCTCTTGGTGGTATTCAGAACAGGTGTGGTTTTAACTATCATTAAGTTCAAAAATTAAATAAATACCAAACACTTTCAATGTAACTTGCATATAAACTATGAATGCATCATAAACAAAATAAAAAAATAAAAACTATCATATCAAGCATAATATATTGCCCAATGGAAAGTTAGTGATAAAGAAAAACCAATGTAATTATTTAAATCGAAGATAAAACATTTAAAACGAAACCCTGTTTAAATTTTTTGAAAATGTAATATAGTCATTACTATTTTATTTTTATAATAATCTAACATGAAAAATAAATAAAGACAAAATATGGATACAAAACTTTACCAGTGTTATTTGTACCACACAAAAAGTCTAATATTAAATATTTATCTTAACTGTTTAAATTTTCAATAAATAGTGTCAAAACCATAAATTTGTGGTTATAAAACACCAATATCGAGTAAAGAGCCAAAAAGGTGTATAATTCACTAATATTGTTTTCGTTGATATACATTTACAGTACCTTACCTAACCCTAATTAAACTCTAACAATAACATAATCACATAATTATTTAATAATATTATAAATATACATCTATTGTAGTAATTTTTATGTCACTATAGATTTTATGCCAGAATATTTATTACGGAACGATAAAATGGAATCTTAAAAAAAACAAATAGTTTTTCATTTTTGAAGGGAAAAACGTTATATACTTCATTTAATTTGTTATACACATATGTAACAACTACAAAATGAACTTTGGGTTTTGTAAATGGTAATTATTTTGAATTTTGATATGGATTATTAATAATTTTGATCCACAATTTTTTAATTAATTTGATAAAAGTAAAAATATTTTCTATTTTTTTTTTGTTTTACGTATTATCGTGTTTATTATATCATACTGTAAAATGTCCAGCAAGCAAAAAAAGCAAAATTAATGAATATAAGTATAATATAATTTAAATATACATAAATATATTTATAAAAAAAATAGCTTTGGTTAAGTATATTAATTAAATAATATTTAATTAATTTACTAAGAGAGTTACGATAAAAAAAAAAAAAATAGAACGAAGTGAATGATTTAACCAATAAAATTATCAGAACAATAACTTCAGAGTTAATAACAGAGGTTACTATTTAAAAACCAAGTTGATATTGTTGCTGATACAAGTTAAAGTAAAAACAATTTTACAAAATCATAAAGAAATTATTTTTTCAAAATAAATAAATATTAGTTTTCATTTTGTTGAATTCACATTTCATCGTTCGGTAAACAAAAAATTGTTAACCCCAACATACAATGGTAAGGTACACTTTATAATATATAAAATTAAATCATAAGTTAATAGTTATTTGGTTATAAGATTGTAAGCTATCTGTCAAACGTTAATTTATAAATGAGATTTACTTTCGTCGAATCGTCGGTATTGAAATTTTCATGTTTCCCTACTATTCTCTGATGACAGATAATGCAAGACGATGGTCGATGAATAACATTATTTTAATCATATTATTGTGACAAACGAAAATGCAATAACATCAAGATTGTTGTGGAAATACATAGGATGTATAGGAAATTACCTATTGCGTCGACACCAAATTTTTTTTCCAGAAAATCGTGGTTTTAAAGTCAGTTGGTGATATAGATAGATTGAGAGCGAGGGAGTAAGTGATAAATTATAAGACGGAAATATTTATGGACAAGTAAAACGAAAAAACGGTTGTGGACAGTGTATGAGAAACTAAGAGAAAAAAAGAAATTTAATACGCTTGTACGTACGCTCTAATAATACTCATTTCTTTGGTGGACTCTCCCATCCGTTTTCTTTGATCATGTGAGCCATTTCGATTATGTATTTTCCCTCCTTATACTTTTGGCTTGATTCGAAAGCATGTTCCTGCAAAATAAGCAAAAAAAAAAAAAAAACAATTATAATAATAACATATATTAGTAAATCAATAATAAATTATACTAAATTACATTTCATTATTATATTATTTATTTTATTATTAATAATTATACGTAGATACATTAATAATGATAATTAAAGACCGGATTCCCGTGCAATTGCATCTTTTTATGACGTGTTCTAAATTCTATAGAAACAAGCTACAAATCCAAATCAAGAAATGTAGATTAATTTAAAGAAAGTTTTATGTTGCACAAAATTGCATGTTTTTGGGTTTTTGCACAAAATTGCACGTTTCGGGTTTTTTTTTATAAAAATGTACTTTGGTACTAATATATTTGTATTATTTTTATCGTTGCTAATTTGTGTTGTTATCTGTATGAAGTATTGGATTTTTATATCTAATAATTTAATTATATATATATATATATCGATATAATACGACGTAATTAAGATTATGACTGTACTACGATACCTACTCGATAGATTATCGATTACATGTAGGTACACATACAGTACTACAATCTATCCGCAGCAGCCGTAGTTTTATTCACGTTTTATTCAACAATTTTATTGTTGATACTTATTACTTATTATTATTTAATTTAAAATACCGAAAATTGGTAGTAGTCATTGTTCTAAAATAAAGTGTTGGATCGAAAAATATCCAGAACTGAAAACAGAAGGCAAAATTATATTTTGCACGTCGTGCAGTAAGGCTATTGGTTGTGAACGTAAATCACAAGTCGACGCACACTGTAATTCAAGTACGTACCTATGCTAACACTAATTTTCTGTTGTAGTCAATAATTATTAACAATTTATTTATTTATTTTTTGTTCTTATTAGCTGTACACCAACAAATGACTGCTACTAAAAAGAATAATCGTAATCCGGTGCAATTGTTAATATTTGAAACCACCTCAGCAATGGCTAGTAGAAAAAGAATTTTTAACAGATATGTGTTTTGCCTTGGTAGCCACAAATATTCCTTTCAATAAACTTCAGTCGACACCATTTAAGAATTTTTTACAAAAATATGTTAGTCAGAATATTCCAGATGAAAGTACGTTACGAAAAAATTAACTAACAATTTCATTTACATTATGGTGGACGAAATGACTGATTCTAGAGGGCTGTATTTGTAGCTTAATTGTTCGGATACTTCATCCGGAAATAATGCCTACTTCATTTCTGATTTCTTACAAAAAATTTAAAAAAACTAACTATAAAACAATTTCTCGATTTGTGAATGATAGTTTAAAGGAATTTTTTGGAGACACGTTATTTCAAGATAAAATTCTGTTTTTTATCAGCGATGCCGCACCATATATGATAAAAGCTGGAGGAGCATTAAAAATATTTTATTCTAATATTATTCATATAACTTGTGTTGCCTATGGCTTAAACCGTGTGGCCGAAAAAGTTAGAGACATTTTCCAGGGTATAAATAAACTAGTAAATAATGGAAAACATTTTTTTTTAAAAGCTCCTCACCGTATTACTGCTTATAAAAATGTTATGGACTGTCACTTTCCGCCAGAACCTATAATAACAAGGTGGGGAACATGGTTAGAAGTTGCTTTGTTTTACTCTGAAAATAATAATCTAATATAGAAGATGACACCCAATATGTCAAAAAAGTAAAATCTATTTTGAGTACTACATCCATTATATCTGATTTATCATTTATCCGAACACATTTGTCCCAGTTGCCAAATTTAATTATAAAAATTGAAAAACAAAATTCTACTTTAAATGATCAAATAGGTGTAGTTGAAATAGTAATATTGAGAATGAAAAGGAACAAATACTTTATGAAAAATTCAAATCAGTATTTGATAAAAATCCAAGATACAATATTTTAAAACTATACAACTATTCAATAAATGGAAATGACGTAATTTAAAAGAAGATCCTGTTATTATAAGCTGTTACAAACAATGCCCGATTACAAGTGTCGACGTAGAACGTGTGTTTTCACAGTTAAAACACATATTAAGTGATAGAAGACATAATTTTACCGAAAAAAACTTAGAAATGTACATGATTATAAATTTTAATCAAATATTGTAAAATCAGTTATATATAGTTATACATATTGTCAGTTACAATTATTTTAATTAAATTAATTCAATTTTTTTTTAATTTTATATTTGAGTATAACAGTTAATGCCAACTTAAAAATAATAATATTATAAAAAGGAATAGTATTAAAAATAAAATTTGAAGTACCTAATTATAATGAAAATTTTGTTTTTGCACGATTTTGCACATTTTAACATTTTAATTGCACGTTTTTTAGGTGTTAGCTGCACAAAAATCCGGTCTTTAATCATAATAATACCTACAATTCATCATATAATATAACAAATATACAGTGGATAAACGCTGATTGTAAACAATCAATATCTTTATGTAGAACCTGGAAATTTTAATTCTGTTTTTTATTTCATTGTTGTAACATAAAAATACAGATTTTATAACCTTATACATTTTTTTTTTTTAGTTTTTTTCTAACTTCATTAGACAAACGCATGCGCAGTACAACTTTTTTTTCTTAAATGGCAATCACTTATTTTAATCACTAATTATTTTTTGTCTAATTTTTTAATGAAAATCTATAGTTTAACCAACTTTTCCAACTAGTTCAAAATTGACCACGTTACAGCAATTTTACAAAATAAAAAAAAAACCGGTAAAATGTAAGAAATGTTCAGTTTTTTGACTATAACTATAAAAATAGCTATTCTAGAATTGCTTGATAATGTCAATTCAAGTTGACATGTTCACCCTTATTAATAAAAGTGAGATTTACACGTTATTATAATTTAAACTACTGTTAATTTTAACTTTTTGAGCAAGGATTATAATTTATAGCAAAAAAATTTAAATAAGTTTGTTATTTATTTCGTTTTATTTAATGGATCCATTATTATTAGAATTATTAGAATTTATTAATAATTAATAACATTTAATTCTTATCTAAGTTATAAGTTTATTTAATATAGTTATTAATTAATTTAACGCACAAATTATTTGTTATTAATTTATTGTCCACCGAATGAACAAAAAATAATTCAGCACGCCGCATAAATTCTTTATTTGTTGCAGCAGTAATTAGTTCATAGGTCAGTTGATTACATGCTGCTGTTATTTTATCCTTTAAATGTTAAAAATTTATAGAAGGGTAAGTATACATAATTTTAATTGTTCAACAAATCTAAATAATGTACTATAGAAAATGTAATATAGAATAACAATTTAAAATATTTCAATAATTTATGTAACAACTTTCAATACTAAACTCAAACTATTTTTTCAGTTCTAACATTTTTTCTAGTAACATTGTATTAAGTTGTTCTTAGACAAAATAATATGGTAAACTTACGTATTTCCAACCCAGGGTAGTCTTACAGCATTCACAATAGATATCTGCGACTGCATGTAATCCGGTCAACAATATCCTTTCTTCAGCTGGTCCACATCCAACGTTTACACTATGAGAAACAATGAACAATAATTAATATTTACCTTTTTATTGAGCAAGATAAAATACTCAATGAATATCCATGGTTCATATTAATAAAAATAATTCTATAAAAGTAACCTAATCTTAGAAAATCACAGAATAATCCCTTTGCTTAGGAAATAATTATTATTGTTTTTAATCTAATTTTTGATCCCAAAAATTATCATTACGAATAAATCATAAAAATACTCACACAGAATTGAAAAGGTATGCTCTTCCTTGACTGCCTTGAAAAGACTGAAACAATAGAATGAAAAAGAAATATACTAACAAATTAACATATCGAAATAAAATTAACTAAATATAATTAACTAAACACCAATATACATCTATTGATCGTTCATATACCATATTTAATAAACTGCATTCAATATTTCAATATTAAAGTACTATAATACTCGTATAATACTTAAAATATTATTATAATTTAAGCAATACTTAAGTCCAATATTTGAAAAAAGAACTTTAATATTTATGATTATAATTTCTAAGGCTCGGAACTTGATGCGTTAAAATATGTAATTTGTTGAATAAAATACAATTTACATAAATTGGGCACATAAGCAGGGGTGTTCCCATAGGGTATACTACATATACGCTGTATACTCTCAAGATTTTTTTCATTATGGGTATACTGCGTATACTCTCAATCACAATCGATATTATATGATTATATCGATCCATATTTTGCGATATATATATATATATATATATATATATATATAATAGGTACTTCGTAGTAATAATGGTATGTTTTTTCCGTTGAATCTTTAGATTATTTTTACGATATATTTATTGTTATATGAATGGCTGGGCGATAACGCACCAGAATGGTGATTGCGGGGCTATAACAAACCAGTTCCCTAAATTTATAATTGGAATAAACACTATAGTCTCTAGCAGTGGTTCTCAACCTTTTTTTATTCACGGTACATTATACATCACAAGTTTTCGCAGCACACTCATGCACTTGACAACAACAAATACTTTGGCTACGCGCTAAGATATCCAGTTGGGTTAGAACCGTAAAGTTTGTATATATGTATCATCTTATCTGCACAATTAATTGACATTTAGCTGTTACAATTTCATCAATCGGCATTTTCAAATATCAGACATTTTTCACGGCATACCTAGTTGATCTCGTGGCACAGTAGTGTGCCGCGACACACCGTTTGAGAACCACTGGTCAAAAGTCATAGCTCATAATCGTTAGATATTCAGATACCAGGAAATGTATCGCGTACGGTGAAAGAAGTGGTGTACACAATTAATCACTAATCAGTTTATCCGTTACCAGTTTACCCCCAACACGTAAAATTTATAATACGATTGCACTTTGTGCGACCTACTGTTTAACGTTTAACTTAAACGTAAATAAGTCAGTTATAAATTGTAATATTAATTATAATTTACTAAAATAATATTTGTATTTGAGAAGTTTTATTAAACTCAACATTTAGTTTAATAAATTGTCCTATACTATATAACGACGTATAACTATATAGAAATAATACTGACTTTAAAGTGTTCTTTTTATTAAAATATGACTTCAAATTCTAAATACGCAGGCGACACACTTGATAAGTTTTTTATACCACAAGAAAAAAAAACTAAAAGCACTACTAATATTGATATTTCTGGTACTAGTTCATTTTTAGTAACGCCCAATGAAGATAGTTTTGATTTTTCTGTTGATAGTCAAATTCATGATGTATTGAAAGTATCCAACATTTGGCCGACATTATGGACAAAAGAACAGGTGATAGAGTTTCATGGAAAAAATACATGGTTAAATAGTAAAAATGGGAAAGTAGGATGTAAAAATTGTATTCAAGTTAAAAATAGTATTCAGTTTCAAAAATCTAACTCGGATAATAAAGTTCGAATATCATCTGAGTGGGTAGGCTTTGAAATAGTAGCAGCTGGGAATAGTAGAAAAAATAAATTGGCTTCATTGAGAAATAAAATTATACAACATTTAGAAAGCAAAGCTCATGGGTTTAGCAGAAAACATATTAATGAAAAGCTCAAACAAAGTATGAGATAAGATGTTCTACCGTATATCTGAAACAAATGGATTCCACGACTCGACTTTTTATAACAGTATATTGCTTAGCAAAAAATCACCGTCCCCTTATCCAGTTTGAAGAACTAGTATAATTACAACAAAGCAATAGATTAGACTTAGGCTCTTCCTTACATATCAGAATAACTGCCACTCGAATGGTAAATGTCATTACAAAGGAGATGCGCAAACGACTTATTTCACGTCTCATACAGTCGAATTCGAAATTTACCATAATGGTAGACGAATCGACAATGCTGAGTACCAAATGCACACTAATTGTGTATATTTTATCATATATCGATGCAGAAATGCCAATTGTAGCATCTTTAGACCGGATTGAGTTAAATAGATAAGATGCTGAAAGTATTGAGAAAGCTCTTTGGTCAAGTTTAAAATGTAATGGAATATTATCATCGTTTGCATTAAATAATTGGATTTCGTTTGCCAGTGACGGCGCAAGTGTGATGACAGGTAAGAAAGGTGGAGTTGCTACTAAATTGTGTGAGAAAATTCTCAATCTATTTACTTGGTATTGTTTATGTCATCGACTCGAACTCTCAGCATACGATGTTATGAAAGATTGTACTTGAATATCTCGTTTCCAAAGCTTAATGGACAAACTATATGTTTACTATCATCAAAGTCTCAAAAATTCAAGGGGCTTGGACAAATCTTGTGTTGAAGTAGGCATAGAAATGAAAAAAATCGGTCGCGTCTTGAACGTACGTTGGCCTGCAAGCAGTTTTCGAACTATAAAGGTCGTATGGAATAATTATCCTGGAATATATTTACATGTTAGTAAAGAACATGATGCGATATCAAATGGCATACGAAGTAAATTAGAATCCTCTTCTTTTTTAGAAGAATTTGGACTCTTTTACGATGTTCTTTCTGAGCTTGCAATGTCATCTTTTATATTACAGTTCAAAAAAAACAACCTTAATGCGTGCCCAATCGGAGATGAATAGAACCATTAGAATTTTAGAAAGTCTAAAAGCTGAACCTGAACAAAAAGAAAAGGAAATTATAGAAATTATTCGGAAAGGGATTCATAAAGATGTCAATATTATAATAAAAAAATCAGGAGGAAACAGCAGGCTACAATTTTTGCAGAATCTAGTTGACAGAATGCGGCATCGCTTATTTGATAACTCAAAAGATAGCACAATGCCTGAAGATCTTCAGGTAATGAAAATTGCAAATTATAATAATATTAAATTTAAATTTTACAATTATTTAAACAGCATAAATGGCATTTAAATTAAATGTTTTTTAGGTGTTTGATGAAGTGTTCAAAACAGCAACTAATGATGTCAAGGGAGAAGATGAAGTTAAAATAGTATCACGGAAATTAGGCTTATCTGAGTTTGAAAGTGTAGTTGACTTCCGTTTACGAAATGCTTCATCAAGTTTCATGAAAGCGTTAACCATACTCCCGACCTCAACATCTGATTGCGAACGAGGATTTTTAGATACGAACTTGACAATAACTGATTTGAGGACTAGTTTAAACATCGAAAATGTGTCAGATTTGATGTTCATCTCTACTAATGGCCCTTCAGTTGTAGATTTCAATCCACGACCTTATGTGAAGATTTGGTTGAAAGATCACCGTTCAGCAGTTTCAGTTCCACGAAGTAAGGAACGACAAGAATCAAACGATGAAAATAAGTTGCAGAAAATGTTTTTACCAATGTATTTTCTTAATCTTTTTAATATTTATAAAGATTGACGAAATAATATAGTAATATAAAGAGGATATATAAAAAATCTGGTTTAAAATTTTTTCTATATTATTGACATGCTATTTATCGGCTTTACTCCATTAAACCATAAGAAAAATATTTTTATTGTATTAAATGTTTATATTTGATGATAAGAGTATAATATACCAGAGGTAACCAGCGAGAAGCGAGAAGAGAATCGCGAGCCACAAATCATATTAAGAAATATGGAAGAGCCAAAATGTAAAAAAAAAAAAAAGATCATAGTGTGGCCACGGTTTGGTTATCCCTGTAGTATACTCTCAAAAAATTAATGGGAACACCTCTGCACATAAGAAAAATAATAAAAATTAAATTAAAAAAAAAAAAATAAACACTGAACACTTGTATATTGTTGTATCTTCCTGTTATACAAGGTACACAATCTTCATCAAACTTTAATTATCTAGATTATTAATGAATAAGTACTGATAACGACCACTTTATATTATGGTTTAATAATAATGCTTTAGTAAATTTAGATAAAAATTAATTCGTTGGTGTTCATTATTACAATTTTTCAGTACAATAGAGATTATATCGTTAAATGCACTGGGAACAATACTAAAATAGCCACCGATAAAGTAATTAATTTCTTCAAATTATGTATATAAAATGTAGAATTTTGATTGTCATATATCTAATACTTTTTGTTGAACTATAAATTTGTAAAAAAAAAAAAAATGTTGCGTTAAATCAATGTAATATACATATAAAAATTATAACAGTATATAAGTAGACCTAAAATATGCGAACTCCTATAAAAAATAACTAAATTTGTAAAATCATGCAACAAAAATTTATATATTTTAAATCTGTGTACTATGGAACGAATTTTTATCGAACCAGAATTTCAATATGTACTTTCTTAACAAATATTCTAATGCTTAAAGTTCTGAGCCTTGATAATTTTTAAATAATAGCTTATGGCACATTATTTTTTATAATATGTGCAATTACTACAAACCGGTTTGATTTTATTGCTAATACATAATATGTAAAGCTGCCAGTTGTCAGGATTGTATTGATTTTTAAAATAAATATAAATTTAAAATTTAGATTTATTACTACAAAATTGTTTTAAAGGAATAGTTAATTATTATCAAGTGCTATACGATAAATTTACCAATAATATTGGTTTAATTTAGGCATATCCAGGAGTTCATAAATTCATTAAGTTCATTGAGTTCATAAATTAATAATAATAATCTAGAGGGTTTTAAAAGTAAAAAAAAATCACACTTGCGCACGCGATGAGTTACCGCACACACATGTATTTAAAACGCTCACGCTTATTTATTATTATATCTGTGTCAACAATTACTAATTCTTTTATTTTACGTATCATATCAAAGAGGAAAAATCACCGATTCAAACTTTTTATTGAACGCTCGAAACTTCGG